TGTCTGGCTTACCCAGTGATCTTTGTTTTGTAACATTATTATTGTCTAGTTCATTCTTCACCTCATTCATAAAAAAAGCTTTCTACTATCTTTTTATCCACTTTTCATTTCCAGTAATAAGCCATTTCAAAAAGAAGTATCTATTTTACTTCACAAAAAATGTGTGCCGTAACTCGACCAAGCATGTTCTACTATGTTAAAAGTCTTGTGGCATCGTAGTGACTCATATAACTGTTCTTCAAATGATCATGTATTGTACTTTGCAGAATATTTAATCTGTGAGTTCCTGAAGTGTAACACGGATTTTCAGACATAGCTTCTTTCAATGGGTATCCATTGTTTGCAATGGATGGACATCCAGAGAGAGCATTATCTTCAAGGCTGAAACTTCCACATATAAACTTCTCAAATCATGTCCAAGCATCTTATCAGAAACTGCACTTTGTCCATATACAAGTTAAATTTTTTTTATTAGTCTGGTTAGCAATTATTTTTCCTTTTTTCAAGCATGGACGTGAAAAACAGTTGTCAGAATTGATACTAGAATTCTGCAACATGAACAGAAAAGGCTGTGTTTAGACACTTGCTTCAATCAAGGTCACTTTCGATCAGCTGTATCAAAATTACCTATCTGGATGACCCAATACAAGATTATCGTATTCCATAATGACACTTTCAAATCTAGTTATTTTCAATTTCTTGACTGTATTATTTCTATGTAGTGAAATCATATTGATTCTGTACTCGAGAGTGAGGGGACCAGAAGTTTGTTAAGCTAAGTAAGGGGAGTGAATTATACTAAAGGAACAAAAAAGTTTTATTAATAATGCTAATTAGCTGATAAACATTCTACATACATATATTAGCATATTGCTTTAACTATGGGCTAAGTGAACAGTTTCCCTTTTTCTACATTAGGTAGTGCTGTATGCGACAATATAGCACACTATAAATACATATTCCAAAATAAGTATTCAGTTATTTAATTTTTAGAATTCAGATTGTTTGAGTGCAGTGCCTCAAGAATGAACTTAAAATGCCTGTTTTCTTCACAAATTCTTTTGACAAATTTGCATAAGAATCTTCATTAAACAAGAATGAATAACAATGAATTTTGAATAATATTTGAAATTTACTCTCGCTATTTGCTTTTTAATCAATTTTTTGTTCTTTTATAGTTTTTATTGTAGAGGCATGAGGTATTTTTTGGAAGCAAGAAAGATGAAAAATATGCAATGCCTTCACCGGGAATCGAACCGTGGACCTCTGGAATACGCACCCAGCGTGCAGACCACACCATGTAGGCATGCCAAGAAGGGGGAATAAATACCTTATATACTCCGCCTTTTAAAGGGTCACTGGAGTTTCTAGGTGACCCAATCGCCAAATCCCAATGCCACGAAGGAGGAGAAATACCTTATACTGTCACTTCCAAAAATCAATCAATGCTTGCTTTAAATTATTTTACTATAATTTAAAAGATAATTGAAACGATAAAATAAAATTTGTCAAAAAAGTTTTTAATGAATTTTATTGAAACCGTTTTCAGAAAGTTGGAAAACAAGGTTGAAAAGAACTAATAAATGCTTTCTATGTTATAAAGTAGTAACAAATAATTGTAAATAAGAAACCTCATATATCAGCAGTTCTCAGCCTTTTGACTAATGCATACCATCTAAACAAAAGCTGAAAATCTTTAGTACCACCACTCTTGAACAAAGCTCTGATCGCATAAATTTACGAGTGTTAGTGAAAAAACTCACTCAGGATGTTAGGGTTTAAATTTTTGAATTTAATAGTTAAAAATGTATTGCTTCTTTGCATACCACCAGTGGTATGTGTCCCACTGGTTGAGAACCCCTGGTGTATATATAAATGCTAGACATTGGAAACTACAGCTTTTGGATATTCTGGGAATATGCATAACAATACTGTGAGAAACTGAATGATTAGAATTAAGAATATGGTTCTCAAACCTCCTGTTAGATTGTACCTGTAAATCAAGAAGAAAAGTTTTAATAAACTCAACTTCAAATTCTAAACAAGGGGAAATGTGACAGATTTTTAAGTTAACTTTTAATGTTTTTAATGAAAATATTTTTAAACAGCATAACTCCTTAGTGTAATTAGTTATTGAGAACTGGTATTAACAGTATAATTAAGTTGCATTCTTTACACTTGAGAGTTTAGAAGCAGATGATAAATCTGTCTCTTCTAAATTGTCTCTCTTCTTCATCTGTTGTATTTGAAGCATGATAGTGTGTACGGATTTTGTTTTAAAAGAACTATTTTACTTGTTAACTGAAAAACAACAATATCCTGTCAAAACAAATGTATTTTAACAAACAAAGTTATTTAAACAATGTTGGTTTTATTCCCTTAATATTATGAACAATGAGAAACATGACTATAAAAATACAGTACTTGTTATAACCTAACTTCTGCATACTAAATGCCAGTGAACAAATTGTAGTGTTCTGGCTCATGTTTTGAATTTGTTATTAGTCATATTGCATATGTTTGCATTTGCATCGAAATTAAATCCAGAAGTTCAATTAAAATTTCCTTTAATGTATCATTAAAAATGCAACGAGTTCAGGGGTTTTCTTGAAGAACACTATCTTATTTGTGTTTGCTCTTCCTGTGTTGCTTTTATTACCATAATAACTAGCCATGTCAGTCTGTCAGAGGGCAATAGTTTAATGAGATTTTTTTCATTGTTTTATTGAATTTTATAAAATTAAAAAATACATATGATATAGAATGTTGAACAATATTTGCTTCTGATTATGCTGAAAAAATTATGTTTTATCTTGCATTACTTGTCCATTAATTTTCAGTCTTGGATCTTTAGAGACAATTTATGGTTAGAAAGAAGCTTCAAGAATCCTCTGTGCAGCATAGAAGCTTCATTACAATTTCCACCTATAGCAGCTTACAGTATCCTCTGTTTCTGAATATGCAACCCAGTTACTCTTTAGATTTCTACTATTTAGTAGAAGGCAGAAACAATGATAAGTGCAAACATCATCTTGTTTCTTCATGTCTATGAAATTCCAAATTCTTATATAAAGGCATCTAAAAGCTTGTAGATGGTGATTACTATTGTCAGTCTGAATCATTAAGAGGTTTGGTGTCGGTTTCCTCTTCAAAATAGTTATCTCTATATGTATCATTTTCAGAGATGCTCTAGCTTCTCAAACAGAACTTGCAGAGCACTTTCTCAAAGCGAGTTTAAGATAACAGATGAAGCAATTTTTACTTCATAGTCTGTGCAAAATCTGAGTTGTATAAAAGATGATCTAGAATTTGGGGGAATTTTTTTTTTTTTTTTTTTTTTTTTTTTTTTTTTTTTTGCAAAGGCCAATATATTGTTATTTTTCCATACACTAACCTACTGCTTTTACTCAGGATCATAATATCCAATCCAGGACTTGGCAGTGGTGATTAATCTATCAAGAACTTAATTTTTTTTTATTATTTTTTTTTTATTTAGCTTTCTGTGTACAGTTTGCAGTGATACAATACATTCAGTGGCAACTGCAAGCTTTGTGTGTAACTGTTGAGCAGCAAACTTTGTTACAACAAGCAGTTATTGACAGATATCAATTTTAAGAAGCAGTTGTTATTTCCTTGCAACTGTTTCTCTAACATAGAGACTGTTTTGAAATATTCACACATATTACTGCTTTCATGATTGTCTCCCCTGCTTCTAAACAGCCAATGATTTGCCACTTCACAGTCTTCCAAAGAATACTTTGGAACCATAAAAACCATTTTGGGTCCTTACATCAAATGCAGCAGAAATTCATTCGGATATTCTTTGCACAAAGTGCTTGATTCACTTTCAGATGACATAATGCTTTGATTCGCATATCAGAAACCATTTGATCTCTTATGATTGAATAATGCTAGTTAGGCTTGTCATTCATGCAAAGATGGATTACATCGAATGAATATTTCGTGGAATATTATAACTTTTAGATAAAGATAAATTTGGGCATGAGTGTATTTTATTGTCAAATGAAAATTCCATATTTGTGCCCTCCAACTCTAAAGTCAGTACCTAGCAGTCAAGCTCTTGTTAGTACAAGCAGTTTTCAATGAAAACTTATCTTTAAAGTTTTTTTTTTTTTTTTTTTTTTTTTTCCTTTCTGAATAGCAGTTTCTCTACATTCCCCCTGCCCCTAGAAGACAGATTGTCTGTGATGAAATTTTCAGCCCATCTGCTTTTATGCTATTCTGCCTTGCTTTTGAACAGCCAAGAGCTCTTTAGCCCAAAGATTATTTCAGCTTATGCTTCGGTACCATAAAAGAAAAGTTTTTTATTTGATCACACTGAAACAAAGCATCATTTTTATGTATGTAAAAATAATTATGGATATCAGTGTAGAAGGAACACATTGCGCCAGCGATTTCCAAATTTTTGACATTCTAAGTAACATGTTTACAGTTACTAGTGTACATTAAAATGCTGGAATTATTTTAGGACAGCTGATCAGCAGATAGTTTTGCCATCTTATGCAAGATGCAAGATGTAAGTAAATACTTATTATTTTACTTAAAAACATCCAAGACATATAAATTCACTAAAATGAATTACTCATTTAGTGCTGTTAATCTCAGTTTTCAGGCATTATAGACGCAAAAACTTTAAGCTGCATCATTTAAACTGTTGCAAAAACTAAATTGTTATTCTTAAAAGGGGCAAAAGTATAAACTTTTCTATAAGCATGTTTTTAAAATTGTGTATTTTATACTTATCACAGCAATAGCCTTAGTGCAGTTTTAAGTAAATACTGATTATTCTATTTTAGTATCCAAGACATGTAAATTCACTAGAACATACTAATTTTTTTCTTGGTGATGTTTTTGATTAACTTGCATTTACAGTTTTGAACTATGCATGCATGTAAAGTAATCAAGAGTCATTTATTCAAATTATTATGTTATATTGGTGAAACTGCCTGCAATCTTCATTCTCATGCTTATGTTTGCAGGTGGATATTTTATGCAATGAAGAAATTTTAGGAAAAGACCATACATTAAAATTTGTTTGTGTTACTAGATGGAGGTTTAAGGTATGTAATTGAACTGTGTATTTGTCTCTCCATATGGATTTTAAAGTTTCTATTATATAACTAAACAGTTATCTCAAATAACTTACTGTTAACCAAATGAACATTATTTAGGCACTAACTATTACAAAATCAGTGTTACAAAACATTATGAACTGCAACATTGATATCAGAGTGTTCAGGCATTCTGTGTCTGCAGTTTAGAGCAGTGATGTTAATAATGTGGTTGCAATACTGTCTGATTTCAACGTACCGTATTTACTTGCGTAATAGTTGCTCTTTTTTTTTTTTTTTTTTTTTTAATTTTTCATAGTGAAAGTTTAAGTGAGACTGTTATGCGAGGAAATCTACTACACAATATTGTACACTTTTAACGATTTTTTTCTGCTTCAAAACGAGTGTGATTATTATGTGAGTAGATACAGTACAAGTTTTATCAGTTGTAATGAGTTCCTAATTTGATTTTTATCAATTTGCTTTGGTATTAGTTAATGTACTAAAAATGCACTGTTTTTCTGCATATTTTTTTAAATTATACATACATTTTTTTTCTCTGCAAAATTCATTCAAGTCCTGCCTGTTTCTATCTTTTTCAGATTACTAGAAGTAAATTTAACAAATATGTTTCAGGTTCCAGTTTAATGCTAATGCATTTATTTTGCAACTTTTGTATGCTGAATTGTATAATTGTAGGTTATAAAGTGATGGTAGGTTCCATTTTCATTCAGCTTTTAATTTTTAACTGTTTGGAAGATACATTTATACCCATGTATCTGCAGATTTAATGTGTAAGGTTTCAGTTATCCATTGATCACAACAGAGCAAAAATATCCTTTGACGTTTCAAAATATGTACCAAGTGTCAAACACAATCACAGAAATAAGCTAAGTGCTACATTTCTACATTAATCATAACTGTACACTGAATGGCCAAAATTATGACCACTTGACACATACCTGAATTGACCAGAATACATAACCCAGATAGAGGGCACGACAGCTATAAAAAGGGAATGCAAGACAAGTGAAGCATTAGTTGTAGAGTGGTGCTTGCAAAGAAATGGGCAAAAAAATTGCGATTTAACCGAGTTTGAACGTGAAGTGATTGGAAACGCTCGAAGCATCGGAAACAGTATCGGCAAAATGACTACATTTGTGAAGTGTTTGAAGGCAGCAGTTATTGATGTTTACATAGAGTGGATTAGCAAGTAGAAAACCAGGTCTCAATGTCAGGCTTATGGTCATCACAGGCTACTGAATGCTTGCTCTGAAAGAATTGCCAAAGTTGTCCAGTCAAACAGTCAACATTCATGAAACATTACATGAAATTCCAGGGAATCTTAATCAAGAAGCAGCTGCAAACATCTCTGAATGAACTGTTTCCCACACATTACACTATATAGGCTATTTAAGTCGACGAGCTGTTCGAAAACCTCTACTGTCTGCCTTGAACGAGGGCACATGTCTCCAGTTCTCAAAGGAGCATAAGGATTGGGGTTGGAAAACAGTCATGTGGTCCGATGAATTGCATCTTCAATTACACCATACAGATGACAGGTTGTGAATATGAAGAAAACAGTACAAAAGTGTGAACCACAGCTCCATTGCTAGTACACTTTAAGCTGGTAGAGACAATATTATGGTTTCAGGATTGTTTTCTTGGCTTTGATTCATATGGAACAATGCCTGAATGCCCAAGAATATATAAGTATTACTGTAGATCAAGTACATCCTGTTATGTTAATGATATACCATGCTGGGGCTGCATACTTTTCAGCAGGCCAGTGCTGCCTGTCACAAAGATGGCATTATTCACAGATGCTTCAAAGAGGATGACGGACACTTTGCTTCATTGGCCTGCACAATCACCAGATTTTAATCCAGCTGAGAATCTGTCCAGTACCATCAGATCGTAAGAAATTGAAAAATGCAGTTCATCAGATAGGGTTTCAAATTCCTAATACTGTCTACCACTAGCATTTCATGTGCAATATTAAGTGCAAAAGATGATCTAGTATTGTGGGGTGGTTGTAATAATTTGGCCACTCAGTGTATGCATGTGCATATGTGCATAAACTTTCCTAATGGGTATGTATTTTCTGAGGTTACGGGTCGCTGCTCAAAATTTGCACTTTCCTTAATTGATTTTTCCTTCATGATGGCTATAAATAAGTTAGCAAGGAATCCTTAAATTTCTCTTAGCTCTGCTTTTAACAGTCTTCCTGCTCTCTTTAGCAACATTCTGTTGCAGCTTTCATACTCGGCAATTTCTTATTCACGTCGTTATGATTTCCAATCATAACAATAGTAATGTTACTAGTGTTCTTAGACTTTAGAAAAACCGGGTTTTCTTATCCATTGAGAGGTTATCACATTTAGCGATGGTCCCTGCTAGATGGGACTTTTCTGAGAAAAAGAATTCTGGTAGCACTGGTTTAAACAGGAGGATTCCTAGAAAAAGGAGCCCCTCTGGAATCAAAGTCCCACCTAGCTACAAAAACGATGTACCTGCTGTGCAGAATTTTTTGAAACCTTACCCAATCTGAGCAATAATCCATTACTGTTTGGAATTTAATTCTTTGTAGTAAGTGAAAATGGTAACCTGGCTATGTGGGTTTTCTGGAAAAGTGCAGGTTCAGAGAATTTTCTCTTTCGGCGTCTAGGCTCTCATTGCCAAAACATAATGTAATTGGGCCTTAGTGGGAAAGCAAAAAATGTTGAAAAATAAGTTTTGTGTTACTGCATTAGCAATGCTGTATAAGAAATTACAGTAGTATACAGTATATTTTATTATTATTTATGAATATTGAAAATACCTTACTGTGCCAAACTTAGCCAGATTTACTTGTTATGTTGGTATCCCGTTCTGCATATTGCTTGTTGATATCTGTTAAATCTATAATTCGAAAGAATTTTTTTAAATCTACAACATCCTTAATAAACTTTGATTTTATGGCTTTTCTATGGAATACTTATTAAAATTTGCTTTTTGTCATGCAAAGTTTTTGAGTCTCCTTTTTTAAAGCAACAAATAATTCAAAGTTTATTATTATTTCAAAAAATTTAATCAAACTAATGTTTTTATAAACAGAAAAAGTAAAAATTAATAAAATATTTAATCTGATGACTAAAAAAAAAGTTATCTAGCATGTGAGGAAAATGGAATAAAAGCGTTTTAAAGACATCTTCCTCCATAAAAAAAGCACAGAAATTATTTACTAATATTCGTCAAACTTTTTGAAAAATCAGCATGGGTATACTGTAATAACATTCATAAGAGGTGAATGATGAAGTCTCAATGCTTCCATAGTTTTCATTAATATATGAAATGTGTTTGCTAATCATTGATAAAGATATACCGTATTTTCCAGCATACCTGTGTATAACACGCATCGGTAATTCCAAGATGCATTTTTTTAATTTTTAGGTATATTCGCCATATAACATGCATCCAGTTCTTCACAAAGAACTCTAAAAGATGCATGCAATGGTGTTGTATTTTTGTCCTAGCCTTTCAAACAGTGATATACCAAACTAATAAATGGTAAAAGGAACATTATGTGTGCGAGTTAAATGCTTAAGTAATATTCGGGGAAAGAGGGTGGATTATGTTCAGTGCAGATAAAGAGGCTGGATTGTATTCAATGCAAATGTCCAAAAGAATGCTATTGTTAGGTTTTGAGAAAAAGGGGGATATAACATATAACCCCTTTTCTCATATATATATATTATTTGGAATAAGAATACACTTCCAACTGGAATAAACTCATGGAATTAAGAGGGTTTTTTTTTTTTTTTTTTTTAAATACCAGTTGAAGCAGTGATTGTAAAGTGAAAATCGAAGGCTTTAGTAAATTTCATTTACTTTTGTTGAAATACAGTTGGTCTAGTGTTCCTTTTAGTAATAAATATGGCTCATGTGAAATGAAACGTAATGCTAATGCAAAGTCATACATTTTGCGAAAGAAAATGGAAATCGTGCTGCAGCAATGATGTTTGGTGTTGGTGAAAGCTGCATCCATGAGTGGAAGAAAATTAAATCACAATAATTAATATGCCAAAGAATAAATGTGCTTTGGTGCAAAGGAGTGACAAAATGGCCTTTCCTGGAAGAAGAAAGTGTTGGGATTAATTATAAGAAACTGTACACTGTTACGTTTTTTTTTTTTTTTTTTTTTTTCTTCTTCCTTCATGTTACGTTCAGTATGGGTTCGTGGATTTAGAGTGAATAATAACAACAGCACTTGATGAAGTATCAAAACACATTTCATTGGCCAGTATTCTCAGGACAGCTTCAAAACCAGGTTTTTACAGTCGTCGAAGACCTATCGGGTTAGTCCGTAAGTTCATGCGCATTAAGAGTATGCATGGAATTCACTATGATGCATTTACTAAAACAATACAATTTTGAACCTGTTGAAACTTGTCATCGTTTGACTAATATATTACTCAGTTCATCACCAACTTTTGTAAATATCGAATGCATTTTAATACCCATAGAAGATGAATATAGATGATCAGTATAAACGTGCTGTGTTACATTTTTTATTTTCGTGTGGTGAATCTGCCAGGTTTGCAGCAGTAAAAATTAATAGTGTGCATTGTGAACACACTATTAGTGTAAGGACTGCCCAGAAATGGTTTAAAAAATTTTAAGTTGGAAAAAGCCGCATTGATGATGAATCCTCTGTTCGGGACGTTTTGAACTGTTAGAACTAAATCAAACAATTAATTCAGAAGTTTATAGTGAACAACTTTGCCATCTAAACTCAGAATTGATCAAAAAACGCCCACAATTGGTAATATCAGGAAAGTGTCATTTTATCATGATAATGCTAGACCGCATACGGCTCGAACAATGCTGAAAAAAATAGTGAATTTAATTGGGAGCTTTTGCCACATCCTGCTTACTCCCCAGATATTGTCCCAAGTGATTTTCACTTATTTCATGCCTTACAAAATTTTTTTACTACACAATGAACTTTCAAGTTTTTTTTTTGCATCAAACCCAGAGTCTTGCCATAGCATTCTCGCAATGGCATAAAAAAGCTTTCAAGTTGGCGAGACATTATAGATAATGGAGGAAAATGTATAATTGATTAAAATGTTAAATTGTGTTTTTTTATATTATTTAAAAATTTACCAAAAAATGCACACAAATTTATGGACTGACCTAATATATAGACATGCTGTAACATTCAGCGACACAGCCGTCAGGCAATCGGGCTATAACGATGAAGACAGCTTCACTGCAAAGCACCAGTATAATAACTCCTGACTCCTCAGTTCCGTCATTCCTAGAGCTCAATGCGCTCTCTCCACGATACACTAAGATACTCTTTCGGTGCACCTGACGACCAACATGGCACTCACTGACTATCAACTTGATGAACTCATCATGGACTAACTGACTCGCTCTCCATGTACCAGCAGGGTTTATATAGCTTTTGGCTTGTGTTCGAGAACATTCTGCGCTAAACCAGTAAGAATTCGTTCCAGAAAGTTCTCCATCTGTCTATGACATATCACCAATTTTGTCGCCAAATGGGCTATTTCTCACCAAATGTGACAACCCTGCCTTCCCTTGCCATCTTCTGACAACCCTAAACCTGCTTTGAGGGGAAGCTGTCTTACTGCACCTGGACATTTTGTAACAATACATTTATTTGCTTTAAAGTGGGGCAAAAAGAATGCAAATGAAAGTGAAAACTGTAAAGCAACTTTGAGCTGGTGTAGTAGATTTATGGCGCAGAATAATTTAGTTCTACAAGAAAAACAAACATTTTGTAAAAGCGTCTAAAGATTTGGATAATAAATTCATTAGTTTCCATACTTATATTACTAACCTACGAATGCAAAAAAAAAGTATTTCCTGTCAAATATTGGAAATATGGATGAAATTCCAGTAATGTTTGATATGATAGAAAATAAAACAGTTGATGTGAAAGGAACAAAGTTTATTAACGTGAAAACAATGGGTCAGGAGGTATTTCACTTCACCATAGTGCTTTCCTGCTTAGCAAATGGTTCAAAATTAAAACCCATGATTACTTTAAAAGAAAGATGATTCCAAAATGTAATTTCCCAAATGGTGTTTTCATTCATGTTCATGAGAGGGGATGGGTGGATGAAAACAGTGTGAAATTGTGGGTTTGATACCCACAAGATTGGTTAAGGCAAAAGAATCCAGAAAGTCTATTAGTCTGGGACATGTTCAAATCTCATTTAATAGATAGATGTTTGTATCAATAAACCATTCAAAGGAAATTTAAAATGACAGTGGAATGCATGGATGTTAGAAGGTGAAAAAAACCATTTACTAAAGGGCAAATGTATCATGCCAGTTTAGAAATAGTGTGTGAGTGGATAATAAAAGCATGGAATGAAACTGAACCCGACATAACTCAAAAGTCATATGAAAAGTGCAGTATATCTAACAATCTGGATGGAATGGAAAATGATTATTTATTTATGGATTAGAATGATTCTGAAGATGAAATAGAATCCAATAATGTGCTTAAAAATATAACAAAAGACAAATATGGGATGAACTTTTCATATTATCCGATAATGAAAATTTTTAAATTCATAAGGTATGTCGTTTTCTTAAACACGTGTTCTATTAAGTAAACAGCACCATAAACTTCATATATCGCTTTGTGAGCTTCAGCCACTTTCTTTATTGAAACAGAAATGTTTATTTTTGGACTCCATGTTAAATTGACTGTTACAGTTGTAAACAAAACTACTTGGAATTTGTATCTATAGTAACTTAAAAGTGTTAGCCACCAAATCTCAAAAGGAAAAAAAATTACAAGATTGGTAGAAGAATAACAAAACAAAAATGCTATCTTTTTGTGTGAACCAAAATTATTTCTTGTGAACCCAATATTTGTAAATATATGAAGTACATTTATCTGTCCCCCCTTTTTTTAGTATTATTTATGTACTAAAATAATATTTTTCATCTTTTAGGATCCTCCTCTGAAGCTTTATTATAGGCCTAAATTGGATTTAGCATAAATTGTTATGATAGATTTCTGTAGCTGTCACTCAGCAGTGTACTTAGAGCGATATTTAATCTGGATTTGTACATAGGTTTGTAAAGAAATTGTTGCACAGATGTTCATCATTTTTATAACTTGCAGATGAGTCCAATACTTGTTTTAAAGAGCAGCTTTGATAAGTTTAAATATATTCCAGAAAACTATGCAATCCTTGTATGATGTTTTCATAAATTTTGTTACATTTTTTTAATATTTTGCAATTATATTCAGTAAATAATTCTTTTGTTTAAAAATTAATGTTAAATTTAGGTAAATCATTTTCATGTCTGAACATCATTGTATCATAATTTATTTCATCTCTGTACATCACTGTGAATCTAAAATCATCTTCATATTCATAAATAATGTAAATAATTATATAGATGTAAAAGGATAAGAGAAATATTTTTCTTATGTGTATTCCTTGATCACCTTTGTAACTGTCCTGATTACTGAAGTTCTGTGAGTAAAAGTTGTATGTCTGTATTTGTTGGAAGTTAATACCAAATTCTTCCACAGATATTGTGCACTTGATAATCTCTTAAAACTGTTAATCATATAAGAATATATTTTTAAATATCACAAAACCATACAAAATTTATTTCAAGTGCATGCTTCCATTTAATGGATTCAAATAAGTTAGATTTGGTGTGAGGTGTTGAGTGCTTTCAAATAATAAATCCACTGAATTCTTTTACATTGCAAATAAATCTCCTTCCTTTCCAGTTTTCTGATTTGTAATTGTTATGATTGCCTTTTGCAGTAGAGGGTATTAATTTGTAACTTGTCCTATATTTATATGTATGTTTTTGTTAGTTTATGTAATATGGGTCAAATGGAAATTAATTTGGTACTTTTCTGTTGAAGTTACCACTTAAGTATTGTGAAATCCTAAAATGTGCCAAATATATTATCAACAGCATCATTTATTGCCCCCACCCCCATAAATATGAAATTTGTAGGTAATAGGCTGAGCTGTGGAAAAAGAGTTTAAAATAATTATATTTCATCATTGGTGAAATGGAAGAGTGACAAAATGAAAGGGAAAAAAAGCATTATTCGTGTTGGTATGAAAAGTTAAATCTGCTTAAATAGATTCTTTTAGCAAATTTTACTCAGTATAAAAAATTATATAACCGTCTAGATTTTAACCTTTAATAATATTGCTTTTTGTACTGTTCTTCATTCACACAAAGTTCTTAATTCTTCATTTTTTGCCTATATATTTTATAAGTAATAAAACTTGAATATATAGATTTACTTATAATGGCTGTGAAAAATTATATAAGCATATTTTGCCCTGTGTTTTAAATTGATATTTTGCCTGCTGTATACACTTATCTTTGTAAGATTGCTGTAGCTAAATATTTATTAGAAAGCAAAATCTAACATTAGGTTAAATTGATGGGGCAGAAACCCAGTGACTAACAGAAAAATATTACTTCTTCCTCATTTTTGAAGCTTTACTTTTTTAAAATTTAATAAATCTCAAGTGCAGAAAAAGAAAAATGCTACTATAGCATTCATCGTTAGATGTACTAGGAAGAAAATAGTTCCTAAATATAAGTTTTCATTTCATTGTTATTATTGGCTGATTTTTATGCCTGGAATTCAAGAAAAGTATTGTGGTAGTGAAGTGTGCTTTTCATTAAAATATCATATGTGTGATTTGTACATAAATTTATCATAGTATAATTGGAAATTCATATGGCAATGCCCTAGAACAATGCAGAATTTGGATACTAAGAGGGATTAAGTTTTAATACCCCAGAAACTACAAATAATCTACGATTGATTAGGAGACTGTGTGTGTGATTAACTGTGTAAACAATAAATACATGTTTTATTATGTATTTCAGAATACATTGCATGACAAGAAAGTAAATAAGAGAAAGCATGTCTTAGAAAATCATTACAAATAGACATATTTTTGTCTTCTACAAGCATGGCTTTCTTTCGTTTCCCCCCATATTGCAGATTTTTTCAACCTCTTAAAAGGGAGTTTTAAGACAATCCTGCTTTGAGCTGTGGATCTCTGTCATTGTGCATCATATGTTTGCCTACTTTCATATCTGTGATTTTCTGGTCATTCTCGCTTTTCTTGAAACTTTTTTATTATTATATTGAAATTAGGATAGGTATACATATGATGACTTCTAAGTGTGACTACTCTGTTTGTAATTTGTGATCAGAAGGCTGTTATTTAATTTCATCCGTTATTAATATGTGGCCACTTCATGAATTCCTCTTTTTTTTTTTTTTTTTTTTTCTTCTCCAGAATATTTTTTGTAAATTTTAATATATTTCCTAAGTGTTCTTTCATGCAGTATTTCTCATGCATATTGCATCTACAGAGACTGCATTTTTTTCATCTGACACCAGTAAATCTTGCATAGCAAAACTGTGGTTATAAATACATCTCAAGTTGCTTCCATTGAAATATCATTAAGTTACAGAAGGAAATTTAAATATAATTATTATATAGATCGTGTGTAGCTAATACCTGTCATTATGGATTTAGTTACTGAACAGAGAAAAGCAAGGTTTTTGTTGCATAATGCAATTAGTGACCAGTAAGTTACATCACAAATAAGAGTGTCACTCGGAATCTGCAGTCTACTCTTTGTTCCGTGAAATGAAATCTCGCTTTAAAGGGCCATTTAAGAGCACTTCAAAAATTCAGAAAACTATAAAATAACAGTTTCCAAGCACTGATTTCTGTGAAGCAGTTCAAAAGCTAAATTGCATCAGAAAGAATGTAATATTTTTCTTTATATCTCAGCATCTTATGAATTTATCTGTGAGGCTTTGTAGATGTTGTGTTTGTTTTCATTATTATACTGAAATTACAGCTGTTAATTATTATATGTCTCTAAATATACAGGAAATGACTTGCAAAGCTGCCGTTTTAAATCAAAAAAAGTAAAAATATTTTCAGATAGAAAGGAATGTCAAATGCTAAGACAAGCTACAGTGCTATTCCAGCAAATGCATGTGTGTTAAGAAAGCAAAAGAACCTTATTCATAGTATTAATATTAATTTCCTAGGTGATGAAAAGAAAAAACAAAATCTTGCAAGTTGCGTAATTGCAGCGAAGTGAAACTGCAATATGTATGAATGTCTGCATTATATTCCCAAGATGTCCATCTGCCAATACCTAAATCAGCATTGTGCTGTGAGATTAAAAAAAAAAAACACTTATTTTTATAAATATTGTCAAGATCTTTCAGATGGGAATTTTTATTATAATTTTGTCAATTGTAACTGATCAAAAAGACAAATGTTTATAGATATTCGATGCAGTCATGAGATGACTACTTTTTTTTTTAAATTATTATTTTTTTTTTAACTGTCACAGAACTTTAAAAATATTTTCTCATATATATTGAAGAAATCTGCATATGTGTGGAATAGTATATAGTTCAAACCTGTGTTGTTCAGTTTTCAACTGTTCTTTAATAGTTCTGCTCCTGATTTATTGATATTTTTCCTGTTTGTGAACACCTTTAATAAAACTGAAATCAAAATTAGTCTACCACCTTACTTAAACAGTCAATACATGTTGAAATTAAATTCTTTGCTGAAAAGTGCATCTGTACTGTAAATATGTCTTGAAGTAATATAATTTCAGAATAACATTTTGAGAAATGAAATTAAACTTTAGAAGTATAAAAACAGTAATAGGAATATTTTAAATACTAGTATGAACATTAAAACTATATAAAGATTTAACACTTTAGTATCTTATTTTTACACTGCACAACAACCTATGCCTTAAATACAAACAAAATGGCACCATCTGAATGTTAGTTTTCCGATGATGTAATTTTTATAAAGGATTTAAATTGTAAATGCCATTGTTAAAAGTGTATTTGTAAAATTTACAGTTGGAAATGATTAAAAACTAGTCCAATGCAAATTTTCATATGTATATAAGAACAAATCATAGTTTGAAAAAAAATGGAAATGTTTTTGTATGTGCATTGAATGAATGTAATGCTTTTGAGTGATTTGGGTTATTAGTTCATATTTAAAGTGTGTTATATTATGTAGCTGCATTTTTATATTACTATCTTCCACTATTTGAGTGTTAATTTCTTAAAGAAAAAGGAAAATAAACCTCCTATTTTATCCTGTAAATTGTAAATAATAATGTGTATAAAAAATAGTTTTCATTACTTTCATGGAAACGGATATCTATACATTAAATGTATATAGAAGTGCTGGATAAACATCCTGGAACTACATTCTTTGTAAGTTATTTATATACACTAAAATGTCTGAAAAATATTTTCATGTATAGCAGTTCCATAAAATTGTAAATTAGAACTGTATGTGTTATTATCAACAATTGATCTCTTTGATTAAATTTAATTAAAAATATATAATTTACATTAAATATGTTATATTTATAAATTTTGTGCATTAGCTGGAATTTCTGTCTTGAAAAATGGTATATTACTTCTGTGAACATGTACATGCAAATTTTTTTTAAATTCTTTGCTTAGATATTAAAAGTTCTATTAAGTTATTGAACAGAGTTTATTTCTTAGATGTTACTTGACCCCTTTTAATGTATCAGAGTAGCCAGTCTTCCTAGTAAAATTGGGAAGCCTTTTTTTCCATCTTCTGGTAAATCTGATTTTTAGTGTACCCTGTTTCAGATGTAGATCTACCAGATTTGTTGATTTTAAAATTTAAAAAAAAAAAAAAAAAAAAAAAAGAGAGACTATGATAAAATTTTGATGGCAAACTCTCAAAAAAGGCTACGGTAACCATATTGTCATCTCTAAACAAATTTCAGAACATGCAAATTAATTTTTTCCTTCCTAGTGATTTTCAGCATTAGTTTATTAGTTTTTATTCAGATTGAACTGGTTTAATCCAGTAAGAAATTTACAAAGCATTTTATAAATAGGTGTTGTTATGAGTAATGTTTAAGAGAATTAATTGTATTTAATTATGAATGATACCTGTAAATAGTTTATACATTTTTATTATGTTACTAAGTTTATGTGCTTAATTTCCTTTTCATTATGTTTAAAAGCATTTTGATAAAAACAAAAAAGGTTTTAACTTGGGTTTTCACCAATATTAAATTTTAAGATGTTTATCAAAAATTAAATATGAGTAGTCAAAAACATACCCTTAAAAATTTTTAATTTCAAGTAGTGAATTAAATATTAGCTAAATATATTTTGTATAAAAATCTTGTAATGCAGTTTAATATACCTGGTATTATAAAGCGACTTAAATTTGTTGTTCAGTGACAATAGAGTCCTTTTCATATTGCATGATCATGCAAAACAAAAAAAAACTCCCAGTTTTTTATATTTGAGGGTTGGCAGCTGTGATACATGGTGGTAACATTTATGTAAATGTCTCAATTAGGAAATTTATTTTCAAATAGCTTGCATGCATATGCATGTTATTTCAGACTATTTTTTTTTTTTTTTTTTTAAAAAAATTCTTAATAGTTGGAAAGCTGTTGAAAGCAGTAAATTTTCTTTCAAATACTTTGTACAGTACTTTTGATATTTTCTGACTTGTTAATACATTAGTTGTAGAGATTTAGTCAAATCTTAAAACAAGTACCGTTTGTTTAAACCATGTTTCTTATTTTAATTTTCTGTGTTTAATCTAATATATTTGATGCTGTAGTTTAGATTTACTCCACTATTTTAGTTTCATAACTGATCCACTGCATTTATTGCACTGAAACCTGTAATTGAATTTGTCAGAATTTTGCTTCTTTATAAGTTTACAAAACCGCTGAGAAAATGATGCAATTTCTAACCAGTTAAAAAGATGTTGTGCCTCTTTATTAATTTCCTTATTTCTTTGTGCAATTTAATCTCCATGCTTGCCTGCACAAAATTAAATATTTTGTTTATAGATTTATATATCTGTAGAAGTCTGTATAGATATTTATTAACCCTTTCAGGACGGGCATCCCATATATGCATCCCTAAGAACGTCTCTTACAGCCGGGGATCCCGTCCACGCATTGCTAGAGACTGCATTCAGAGGGTGGGTGATGTGTATGCGCATTTTAAGCTGGAACGTTTTTCTGAAGGCCACTAGAAGGCATTCTATGTCCATTACTTTTGAAATGAACACAGTTTTAGGTTCCTGACCTTGAGTTTGATATATTCTGTCTGACTTTGGTATTTTACTCAACTGTTGCGAGGGTAGGGGGGAGCGAATTGTAAACAGAAGTGGGCTCTTTAAATTGCCGTGTGCGAATGTAAATATTCGCGTATCTGATTTATATACAATTCTTTTTTTAATTCTGTTTTTTCCTCTACTATATACGGCCTTTCAGGGTTACTAGACAGCCCAGTGAGTTTTGCATTGACTTCAGATATATTCCCGTTTTTTCTCTTTTTATTTCTGGAAGTCTCACCTCTTGTCTATTATGGCGCAAAGTCGCCATTTATCAGAGGAAGAATACCCTCGTATGGTTAATGAACCATTTACTAATGCAGATAAGAGTGATGATTCTTTTTCGAAAGATTTAAAAAGTGATACTTTTTCTAAGAGTTAGAAAGTAATACTTCTCCGTGCTTCGAGATTTACCACACTCAGTCTTCATTTTAAATTTTGTTACTTCTTACTGTAAATAGGCTTTATTGTGTTGTTTTATTAATTTTAGTCTGTATTGATGGATTTTATCAATTAAAACTTTGGAATAATTTGAATAGCGCTTCCGAAAATTATTTTACAAGATAAGGAAATTTTTAAGTATATTTTCATGTAAAATAAAGAAGAAAACGTTATGTGCTAATTTTAACATATATAAGAGCTCAAGCAACAATCTAATATGATACCAAAAATTACGAGGCTAGAAGTGAAACTTTTTTTGTTCTGATTTTTTTTATAAAATTAGGCTTAGTGATGCAAAACCTCCGTCCTGTACGGTGACTGCATTCGATTCCCTTCCGTCCCGCACGAGCGTCTTAAACAAATGTGCGCCGTTGCGAAAAGGTTAAATGAATGGTCATACTGTTACATATAATTCAGATCCTAAATTTTAGAACAATGGTAACTAATAGTTTGTTTCTCAGTGAAAGGAAATCAAAGCTGTTGCCTTATCCAAAAATGCAGTTTTAGTACATGTGTATTATACCCATATAATTTCAAATTGGTAAATCTAATTATCTTAATTTAATTTTATCTGTTAAGTAGCTGCTTGCAAGAAAAAGGGGGGATTTAGTTATATAAATTCAATTTAACCACTCTTTTAGTGCCGAACGAAAGTATCATACTTATGTGAAAATCACTTAGCCAGTTTGAAGAATTTGGATCAAACTGAGGTGGCTCGGGAAAAAGCTCATAACCAGACTTAAGAATGATATTTACAGAATCCAGTAACATCAGTTTAAAACAATCATAATGAAAGCCCAAAAACATTTTTCTTTTGCACTGAAATTAGAGAACATTTATAATGTTTTATAAATATAGTGAGGTGCCATCAGGTAAGCAATGCTATATCGCCATTGGTACTTTTCACAAGTATTACAAATAAATATATCGTCATTCAGCACTAAAAGTGTTAATAAACGCAAGTGAGTCAAACTTCTAAAAACTAATTCGCTTAAATTTCAATTAAATTTTTAAAAATAAATCAGAATATTATCTAACATGCAGATTTAATTCATATTTGCAAAGTAAGAGAGACAAAGCATAATAATGCAAAAAGTTACCCATTTACAATGTTACTTCTGCCATTTTAAATGTATATTCAAAATGCATCAAAAGGTTTCACATCTGAAAATGTGAATAGAACAATATTACTTAGATTTATGATTTATTTCATTGTATTAATAACAGCTAAAGTTATAATTTATATCAAAGATGCCTTAATAATCAGGGTGGTACAGGTTTGGTATAAAAATCCCATCAAATATCATTTCAGTCATGAAAAGCATATTATATAAAATATCAGTTCTTTGCCTAAGCAGTATGCAGTAATTTTTTGCATTGTGCCCTGTAGTGCAAGCATCTATTTTAAGTGACATAACCCAGTTTTTTTATTAACATTGCACAGATAGAGAAAATTATCTGTTGTATTCTATTAAGATTTCTTTTTGCACAAAGTATAAACAAACCTTGCAGATATTCTAGTCAAAAATGTAGATGGCAACTGTATGCAGAAATATGCCAAATGAGCTGTGATAGATAGCAGTGATTATAGTTTGGGGAAGCCATTTTAATGTATATTCTTAAGGAAATTACAAGTTCACATCTCAGTCCATAGCTAAATCAAATAACAAGTTCTTGCAACGTAGATTAGCATAAGGTAGTGAACACCTGCATGTATATATTATTTTAATATGAAAATATTTCATTTTTAAAGCTATATCTGAAGAATAGAAATGTATTAAAAAATTGCTGCTTACATCAGCTTTCACTTTTTTTTAACCTTAAAATTTCAGTCTAATACTCCATTTGGAACTTAGACAACTAGTTCAAATGTGATATCTTAAAATCTAGTAGATCATTACTAGATTTAGTTTCTTACTATGCATATTTGTAATACCAAGTTTTTTATGCCAAAAGTGCTGTGTTGTAGTTGTGTTCCAGAAAGTGCAGTTGGTATAAAATTTAATCTGTTATGTATAAATGCACCGCTCAATTTTATTTTGTAGTTCTAGGATCCCCCAAAATGTTTGATACTAATGTGGTACAATGTTAATGGAAACGATAAAATTGCATATATTCCTAATTCCTTATGTAAGTTACTTGTTGTAATACTTATCTGGTTTTTTAATACAGTTAGCTAATTCCCAGCAAAGTGAATGATTTATTCCTTATGACTAAAACTGACTGCTATTGGTTAAAACTTGTGTGAATTTTAGTGATGTTACGTCCTCAACAGCTTTATTTTTATTCCTTGTCTGTGTGTTCTTATGGAATAGTCAGAATATTACATGTAAACGTCATGTTTACTTTAAATCATGTGTTTCTTTGCAGTCTTGTTGTCTGATCTACCAGAAATTTTATTTTCTGCTGAAAAGGCATGAAATTTTATTCTGAATTCTCAGTGTGTGATAGTGGTAGTTAAATCATTATTTCTGAACAAACCTTGGAAATTATTAAGAGATAAAAGATTGTACATGCATATACATAGTTTTTTGGCTAGATTTGGACCTTATCTGAAATATTACCTTTTTTTTTTTCACATTCTTACATAAGAAAAGTCTACCGAAACTTATACCCCTTCTTATTATAGGAATTGATTGTACTAGAAATTTGACTGAATTTTCTTCATGGTAACACATAACTGACCAATTAACATTTCATTCCCTTTTTATTAATGTGTAATGCATTCAAATGACTTTATATTATAATATCTTGAAAGCAGCTGTTTTTAAACATAAAGTAATTACTTTGCTATCAAACTATTATAGAAAATTTTAAAATCTTTGGAATAGTGAAATTTATCAATATTGTAAACAGTTGCTCTTAAAACTTATTTTGTGAAGCTATATAGCAGCCACTGTTCTTACTTTTGCTTTGTTAATAAATTATCGGCCAAGTGATTTAATATAAGAATAAATAATAGCAAATACCATGTATTCTTTTTAACATTTTTATTTAATGAGTTATAAAGTAATAGTTGTGAGAAAAGAATGAATAGAAATGCTTAAAGATAAGTATTTAATAATGAAACATATCTTGAAATAATTTACATATATTTGTATTTTAACTCTTCCATGTAATGAAAATAAATTGTAAACTAGAAAAGGGTTATAAAATCTGTTAAGTTACTATGATGTGTTAACGATGGTAAACTTTTTTACACTTTAGAAAAGGAATATTAGCTCTGACTATTAGCAAATTTAAGCTTTAATGTAACATTTTTGCACCTTTATTCCATGCCTAATTGATCGTTGCTGTGGGGCCTTCGTTGGTCTAATGGCATCATTTATAGATGGAAATTAGATCAATTTTGCTGTTGTAAAATGTTTTAGATATGTTTGTTAAAGGCGATTCTTATGGATAGATAGCACCTGCTGCTCTCTGGCTAAATTCAGGTCATAATAGTTAATGCAAAGTCGTTACACAATTATTTAGATTCTTTGCTAAAGTAGTACTGCAATTAAAAAATACAGAATTCATTGTCAACTGTTTAGAAAAATATATGATTTAATTTTATATAAATTCTGTAAAACTAAAAATAATCTGGCAAACCAAATTAGTATATTTTTATTTTGTTCTATTCAATAGCTTTTTATATAACATCTAATGAATACTTTAACTGTAAGTTTGATTATTATGGATGATGGTTTTTTGCTCTAACTGAACCTGTTCCATGTTCACAGTTTTAATGTAACTTCATTAATATTATGTTAAGTCTTATTGCAAATTGAAAATGCTAAAACAAAATGCAAAAGAAGGTTTATACTTTGTGTTGTTTTCCACGATTTTAGTATACTGGTTATATATATATAGAGTATTGGATGTTCTAATGTGAATTAAAATGTAAATTTTTTCTTTTGCAATACACATCCAAACAGAACCTCTATCCTCACACATGAATATAGATAGATAGATTAGAATCATATCTTAGAAATTCTTAGCTTCATAATGAAAGGGAAAATGACAGTGTTATATTGTACATAACTAACTAAAAAGCAAACCAAATGTGTCATATATATATATATCATCACACTATAAACCTTTTCTATACCTTGCTGTAAATGCAATAATTCCTTGAATGACATTTTGATAACTAGAATGCAAAATGACATGAAATAAAAGTTTTAGTAAACTTTTGTTTCATAATCAAATTTTCTTTCAATTCATATATATATATATATATATATATAGATTTACATGACCTGAATTATATCCAGATTTTTAAAATGTGGAATAATTAGAGTCAGATTTTCCCAGTTGAGATATTATTGCATAATATTACACAGCAGATATTGTATAACCTCATCCTTTGTAAGAAGTCATCTTGTATGTTACTGTACAGAAAAATACTCTTTGTAGAACACCAAATATTGTAAAAGTTCAGAAGAAACTACTATAATTTATTTGCATAGTGACAATTTTGTAATGACTAACTGTGATATTGTGTATAACTTTAATAAAATCTTTTTTAAGTATTTCAAACTTTTCTTGTAAAAGTTGTATATCAAACTGTGTATTTTAAGAAGTTTAGAAACGGGTTTAGTTTCAAGTTCTTTACTCCTGCGCTAAATTAGAATAATTTTTCAGAATTTGTACACTTTTAAATTACATATCTAAGGGGAAAATTGGCTTGTTTTTCTTAGATGCTTTCAGGTGCTTAAAATAATTATTTATTGCTATGTTTTTGTTAAGGTAATTAAGTGAGGTGTTTTTCTTCAGTTAATGTTTGAATTTGGTTAAATTGTACAGATGTTGTGATACTCAAAAATATTGTTTATAAATATAGCTTCTACATCATTGTAGATATCGATCTGGTTGTATTTTTCTTTATCCAATAAAAATAATTTTTGAAGACTAAATAATTTGTTTTATGTACAAACCCATTTCTAAAAATAACTTTCTTTTGTTTATGTGTGCAAATTTGTCTCGATATATCTCAGCATTAACTTACTAAACTTCATTTTATTTTCACGTACAAGAGGAAGTATAAAGTTTAAATTGCAACAGAAGACACAATAAATAAGTTCACACAGACTAGTACTAATTTAAACATCCAAATGAGTATGAACAAAAAATTAAATGAAGGATGCTTGTTTTCTCAGAAAAACTACCATACAATAGTATCAAAAGGTTTCTTTCAAGAATCAACAGAAGTATGAAAGAAAACGCTCTTTGTAGAACCATACATAATGCAGTATCTTATCATGCCATACAAATACAAAAAAAGTACTGGTCTAGGTACTGTTTTAAGTGATATTTTCTAACACATTTCCATATTTTTATAAAATATAATTCTATATATTTCATTTTAAATGAATATTTTACACATATATAATTGTGAAACAATCTGACAGTTTTACACAAGATTTGGTTAATTATTTTGTAAATGCTTGCCTAATAGATTATGTACATTTCCTAACAAATTCAGAGCACTGAAAAGATTTCATAAGCACAAAAGGAAAAATATTCTTAAAACTATAGATAGAAATTTTCATGTAAATTACATATATATGAATCATACTTAATCTTAGCAAGAAAATTTGCCATCACAGGTAACAACAGCAGGTGCCTGCCATTAAATTGTTCTAAATATACACTTATCAAATTTAAACTTTCATATTATCACAGGAACAAAACACAAGTACTAGCTAAGGATGCTATCAGAGGTTGATAGTATAAAAAGACAATGACCATACAAAAAACAGACCTATAAGGACGGTTAACCAATACTGAGAGAAATGTTTAATAATAAAAAAAGTTTCTCTGAAAATTTTATACAAAACAAAAATGAATGAATTGGTAAAATTTAATTTAGAGGGATATTTTTTATACAAATATCAACCATTAACAGCATTGATGAAATGTGTGATCCCTCAAGTATTAGAAATTTTACATAGATATTAGAAAAACAGCAATAAACTATGCATGAATATGTATAACAAATACAACATCAATTTGCTGTAAAATACAAATTGTAACAAAGTCTCTAGGGATGTACTGTTAAGTACCGTATATGAAGGCTTCCACAGCATCTTGTAGCTTGACATGTTTAAATTCTTATTAAAAACTTTTAAGATTTATCATTATGTACTGTAAGACATATTTATCTATGAAAATTCTTTTCCAGTTAATTTAATCAAAATTATATATATACCTTAATCAGAATATTTTACTTTCAACAAGCCAAGACACAAAAAATGTAAAATTCACACCACATACAATTCCAAGAACTAGAAACAAAGCAGCTATCATCCCTGCTATTGAGGCATGTTCTGTCTCAACACATCTGAAAGTAATCAATATATAAGTACATAAAATTTGCACTGCATACAAATTGAAAACATATTTTAAACAACTATACCTCAAGAACAGGTAACTGTTATGATATAATGCAAAAGTTATTTTCATTTAAGGACTCTTTTTCTAAAGTATATTAGTTTGCTATCTAATATGGGTTAAAAAACATGAAAAACTCATACAGCTAGCTCACTTCTTGTAGCTAGCTGGCTTGTTGTTTATGGTAAAAGACTACTGGCCTAAGGAACAATGAATTCACAGAATGCTTTTTATAAGAAATAATTTTTATTTACAGAATGCTTTGCAATCAGGGATCAATACAGAATTCAATTTCAGAATGGTTTCACCACAAATCCAACCATGTACTCCTTTACTGATGTCAATCTCCTTTACTGATGGGCCCTTTCTTAAAAAAATTTTTAATGTAGTTAAATATATAGTAAAGTGATTACCTTTTATCTGTAACACTAAGGATCGTCAAACTATGGCTCACGAACTACATGTGGCTCTGATGTCCCCCTTAAATAGGATTCAATTGTGACAAATAGCTGTTTAATTTATTAAAATAATTGCATTTTCGTATAAAAATCAAGCAATGACACACTTCCTTATTGATCAGATATTTAATTTTTTTAACTTCATTACGTGAGTAATTGATTTCAGACTGTCTGCTGAACATCAGAGTAACAAACAAAAAATCAAAAAATTCCATTTTGATGAGTTTGACCATGTAATGTAAGTAAATAATGGTATTCAACACAATCAAATATGAAGATCCCTTAAAAAAAATTCACTCAAATTTTTTAACTTTAATTTTCTTTCAGGCAGTTTTCTCTTTAAGACCTTCTTTGTCAACCTCCTGATTCTCAACAGATCCAATGCTGTGGGAGATTTACTGTTCCTTGTAATATGCTATTTTTATTCAGTCTCAAAATGGCTTTCATAGCTGCTGAAGAAACAATTCCAGAAGAAAGTTAAGTTCCCCCACTCGTACTTGGTCAGCAGATCTGTCCAACTTTCTCACATTAAGATGTACATTAGCTTCCAAAATAAATTGCTAATCCTCTAAGGAAATCAAGTCACATTTATGCAGTTTTTGTAACCACTGCTTAGGGGATCTGCAAAGACATGCCACATTTACACTTTTTCGAAGCGACTTTCATAATGATTTCTCGGTAATCCTACGTAGAGATTATAATTTACTTTACCTGTGATTAAGCATACTGAAATTTTTGTAATCATGAGGATGATGGACATTTCCACTTGGTTGAAATTGATTTTAGAACTCTGGTGCAACATCTATAATCAGAATTTGGTTGATAATCATTATTCAAGACCACCTTTATTATCAAATATTCCTTTTCGATAATACGGCTTCAAACAAAGAGATTACTTAGTACAAACTTTTCTATTGTGGAAACCTGCTGTTAAATACACTATCCTGAGTGAAATCATCGTTGCTTCAGATATTTCCTTGTATATTGCTTAATAGTAATATTCCTTTCTAGTACATCACACTTCCTTCACCTGTTGATGTTTTTTGGTCCCCTCTTGCCTTCTGTCTAGTATGGCTGGGAAGTCCTTCATGAAAGCAAAGAGTCTAATGGAAAAGCTGATTCATTGCCTGATCACCATAAACTTTATGCACAACAATCTGATATTGTATTCGAGATATTTACCCCACAAACTTTCAATTTTGAAACAGTCTTTGATTCTTTACAGTCATACTCTTACAGTACCTCAGATGCCAACAAATTTCAATTCAAATAACTGATCACTAAAAGTTATTCTTTAGAGAACTCAAATAGGCACTTGTTTTTGCCTCAGATTTTCAACCGAAAATAATACAAATTTTGCTTCAAATCTTCAACTACAAATCATACAAATGTATACCAACTGCCTCCCACCATTAAGGTGTAACATAGAATATTTCTTATAAGGGATGTGAAATGCATATTTCAAAACTTAAGATTTGTGGCCATAACACTAAACTGGAAACTCAACTAATCTCACACCAGAAAATACTCTTGAACGTAATGTGGGTGTTATGTGAAATGCTAATCATTTGCATTTGTCTAACATGTTTTACCTTTCAGGCAGTTCCTTTTTAGATTTTTAAATCCCGATTTAGTGTTGAGTGGAGGTGTCAAGAACACAATTGAAAGAAGTGAAGTGAAAGAATGCAATCCCAACTACTGGTTAACACATTTCTACAGTGGTAGTATTCAGTTTAACCCATTAGCCACTGGTGTTGCGTTAACGCAACGGTCAAAATAAATGCGTATATAAATATCACTACCTAAGATATTTTATACCAGCAGATGATTTTGTGTAGGGAATATTATGAAGATTATTTCTGAAAAAAAATTTGCCTTCAACAATCATTTTGTTTATAATAATTAATCTCATACTTTAAGCAAAATTTTCGACCTGGTATTTTTGCTGAAAATATTTAACGAAAGAATCGCCATCTTTATGAGTGATCTATTTTTAGTCAAGGTCACCGTTTATCAGAACATTACATCAGTCAGATGTTTATATTTGTGTTGGGAAGCAAGGTAAAACAGGTGTTGCACTACATCAGCGGGAAACGGGTAGTCAATCTCCTTTTTCACTCATTCCTTTCGATGTTCTGATTCATGTTCTGGTTGTTTAAAAATGCCTAGAACGAGGCATCTTACATTAGAAGCCCTTCAAAGATTTTTTGATGAAGAAACAGATGATGATAATGTTAATAATGTCCAGAATGAAACTGATATTGTTGTTGTTCCCCCAGAAATTGCAGAAACTAGTGACAAAGAAGAAAGGAATGACAATGTTTTAAATATTGGTAATGATATTTTACCAAATGATACTGCTGGGGAAGTTGAAATTCACGTAAGAAGTAAGTTTCAGCCTTCTAAAAGCAGTTATAGTCATACTAAAAAGTTTAAAAGCAGAAGATTGAAATCTTGAAGTAGATAAAAAAGGAACTGTTAATTATGTCTCAGGAAGAACATGAAGAAAGAGATAGAATAGAAATTATAAAAGACAAAATACAAGGTAAAACTAGTGCACAGATTTTCGATTTTCGTTTTGGTTTAGACATTTACTCTCTTCTCGTTGAACAGACAAATATAGACGCTCAGCAAAAAAAAAAAAAAAAAAAAAAGCCCAGAATTTATTGCATCTGAAGCCTATATGAGAAGATTTATTAGAATATTATTGCTTACAGGATATTATTCCTTACCTCAAGAAAAAATGTATTGGTCTTTTGATAAGGACATTTCTGTTCCTGTTGTACGAGAATCGATATCACGTTTGCAGTACAGAAATATGAAGCAGAATTTGCATTTGACAATAGTCAAATTGACAATACTGATAAATTATATTATTACTAAACTTACTAAATATCGCCACTTTTTACTACTGGAAATATACTCTTTTAGATTTCAGACGCGAGAATGCATTATTCCTTTTGCAAACTCCTATTGAGAGTTAAAATTAGCCAGCAATAGATCAGCAACAGGAAGACCTAGTAAATTCAGCATTCAAAAACCATTGCATGGAGATGGTAAAAATTTTATCGTAAAGTCCGTTGATAACAAAAGACTTTGTTGTAAAGAGTACCATAACCAGACTGTTTATAGATGCAAGGTATGTAATGTAGCTTTACATCATGATTGTAATCAAGTTTTTCATGCTTGAATCTTTCAATTGAAATAACCTGTATTTGTAAAAGAAATACAATGTATATTTTAATAGTAAATTAATTACAAGTAAAGTGATTTGTAGATTTATAAAGCGTTATACAGCTAAAATGTAATCCTGCGCTCCACTCAAACGAAACATCACACGAGTACAACTTTTCTACTCACTCAACATCCGTAGTCTTATTCCACTGACGTTGCGTGAATGCAACACTCGCGTTTTTCACAGGTAAGAGCATTTTTTTAAATTTTCAATGTAAATTTATGTTATAAATGCTTAATTTAACATTTGTTATTAATTTCATGAGAAAAGAAACATTCCTTGTAGTTTTGGCAGTTAATGGGTTAAAATTCAAACTCTTATAGGCTTCAACTGTATATCAGAGTACACATCTTACAGGTGAGAACAACTTTTTATGAATACTTTATAGGAATTTGAAACCACTACTATGACCAAACACCAGTACAATCCTAGCTTTCAAAGAAGGTTTAATGAAAAAGTGAATTGTCCACTAAAAACTGATAACCATTGTTTTTCACCTCCCCACAAACACCCACCTGGATTCTCTCATCACAAGGAATGATGAAAGTTCTCTACATCATAGTCACATACTAGATCACATAGTGTGAACCTATGTTATCTCACTAAAGAAAAATGAACTGCTGAGGTATAAAATGATACATTTTTGGTTGGATTCAAATGGCATTTATTGCTAATTAATTCAGCCACTTAACCGCTTGGCCGTTGGTGGGCAACCCTAATTTTTCATGGCAGGAGCAGTTTTCAATGAGTCTTTAAACTATTACACTTGTAAATTTTTCAATGCTTTTTTGAAATTCAAATTTTTCAATTCTTTTCAAATTTTGAAATTCAAATTTTTCAATGCTTTTTTTTTTTTTTTTGGTTGGATTCAAATGGCATTTATTGCTAATTAATTCAGCCACTTTACCGCTTGGTCGTTGGTGGGCAACCCTGATTTTTCATGGTGGGCAACCCTAATTTGCAGGAGCAGTTTTCAATGAGCTTTTTTTTTCAATGCTTTTTTCAGCCACTTTACCGCTTGGCCGTTGGTGGGCAACCCTAATTTTTCATGGTGGGCAACCCTAATTTGCAGGAGCTTTTTTTTTCAATGCTTTTTTCAGCCACTTTACCGCTTGGCCGTTGGTGGGCAACCCTAATTTTTCATGGTGGGCAACCCTAATTTGCAGGAGCAGTTTTCAATGAGTCTTTAAACTATTACACTTGTAAATTTTTTAGTGCTTTTTTCAGCCACTTTACCACTTGGCCGTTGGTGGGCAACCCTAATTTTTCATGGCAGGAGCAGTTTTCAATGAGTCTTTAAACTATTACACTTGTAAATTTTTCAATGCTTTTTTGAAATTCAAATTTTTCAATTCTTTTCAAATTTTGAAATTCAAATTTTTCAATGCTTTTTTTTTTTTTTTTGGTTGGATTCAAATGGCATTTATTGCTAATTAATTCAGCCACTTTACCGCTTGGCCGTTGGTGGGCAACCCTAATTTTTCATGGCAGGTGCAGTTTTCAATGAGTCTTTAAACTATTACACTTGTAAATTTTCAATGCTTACTCACTGGTTCTTTTAACTTATGTTTATGGAGAAAACTAAATTAAATGTCTTCAGAAGGCCTAAAACGTGAAAATAATTTATAAAGCCTCTTTTCTGCCAGTTTATTATAATTAAATAAGCAATATATTATAGTTACATTTCTGATGAAAATTTAAAAATATTTAAGTCTGATGACAGTATTGAATGGAAAGTCCCACCATGTTTTTCAGCATCATGGCCTTCTTTAATGAATGTCATGGCTGAGCTCACATCTTGCAAGAATTCTCAAAGCAGTAGTTGGTATACACATATCTACTATGAACTTGCAGTTCTTACACATGTAACAATGTATGATCATGTATCAATGAATGATTACGCATCAATGATCATCTACTGGAATGTAAATAGTATCACCTGTACATGTATGTATGTACATATATGTACTACTTACATTCCATTGGATATTCTAGTAGTTCATAACTATAGTATAGTGCATCAGCACATCTTACGGTATTTGAATTGCACTGAGATTGGTTTAGATGTAAATAATCTACATAAGGATCATTCTTGTCATATCAATTTTCATCCTTTGCTGTGTTTTGAATCGTTATTAAGACAACACACACAAAATCTATCTGCATATGAGAAGAAATGTCTTCGAGAACTTGTAGTGGCCTAAAATGTAAATGAGTTTAACTCAAAAATACTTTATAAATTATAAATGTTTACATATTATTTTTTTTTGTAACAGTTTCTATATTATATTTCTTTTTAGAATCCAACATTTTGTTTAAAAAAAAAAAAATCAGTTTTACTACTAGAATTAAAGAATTTGGTGAATATGGTAGTATTATTCGTAGTTTAATTAAAACCCCATTAGTCTTTAGCTGCATTTTATTAAGTTGTTTCAGCTGAGAACAAACAACTAGTGACCCGAAGGACTAAACTTGGTTATTTAATTTGACTACAGAAAGCAAAACGGAAGCAACCACATTAATAGAAGTGTCAGAGCGAATAAAGCAAGCATTAAAATTCCACGATTTTGGCAAGAAAAACCAGACATCTGGTTTCACCAAGTGGAAGTTCAGTTTCAATGAATAAAATCACCACTGAAGAAACTAGATTGAATTATTTGATATCCCAGCTTGAACCAAAATATGCTGAAAATATATGGAACATTATTAATGACACAAAGCCCAATAAATATTCTATGGCAAAATAGACTTTTAAATACTTTCAAAGAAAGTGAAAATAACTGAATTCAGTATCTGGTTACTGGATTAGAACTCTGAGATTATAAGCCAAGTCAGCTTTTGTAGAAAATGGAAAGTATGATCACAGACGATTTTCCACTAAAATCGTTATGGGTAGATAAAATGCTGATTTTATTTTTAAAAATATTCTTCTCATAAGTAAAGGAAATTTAGAAAGTTTGGCCTTGATGATTGACGAAATTTACGAGATAAAATATGAAAAAAATTATGCTGTTTCACCCAAATATTAATGTTAATGATGCTTTATTTGCAAGAATAGCTGCCTTAGAACAAAAAATTGATTCAATACAAATAGATAATCGTTCTAGACCAAAATTTAGATATAATCAGCGAAACTCATAGCCATTCGAACAGGCTACTTAACATAATGGTAAAAGCTCCTTTTTTCTAATTTAAATTTGGAATTTTTTTTTTAACCTGAGAAATGTCATGCCCCATGAGCTTGGCAAGAGAAGCTGGAAAAATTCATAGTATAACAGGATTACTGGCTATCACGGTTGCTGATATCAATGGCAGCTCCAAGTTTTGTTTACTTGTGAAGGACAAAAACACAGGACTGCAGTTCCTAGTAGATTTTGGTGCTGATGTATTATGATCTACATCAGTACCAAAATTTGATGATGTTGATGTATTATGATCACAGTAGATTATTTCAAATCATATGCAGCGAATGGAATTTCCTACTTATGGAATTAAAATTTCATCTTTGAATTCAGGACTATAAAGAAAATTCTAATTTCCATTTACATTGGCGAAAGTTGATAATGCTATTGTAGAAGCATATTTTTTAAATAAATATAAACTTTTAGTTGACATTCATAACACACAATTAATTGATGGAGTATCTAACACTGTTTGAAGTAATTTGATGACAATGTATTCAGATAATGCTATTCGTACTCTAAATAAAAAATTCTAAATATGTTAATTTGCTATAAAACCAAATTTATCAGTATAAACATTCAAGTGTGATGTTGAGAATTATATTACAACAAGAGGACAACCTGTTTATACTGAAGCTAGACAATTTAATTCCAAGTGACTATAAAAAGTGAATAGGAATTTCAGTTATGTTAAAAATGATATTATTCATCCTTCTAAATTACAATGAGCCAGTCCTCTTCACATGGCTCCTTCCAACCATGCTGAGTTGTTTCAACCACATTTAAAAAAATATTTTCTGAAACTAATTTGCATAAAACATATTTCCAGATTCCTATTAAAGAAAATGATAAGTAAAAAACTGTCACTATAATCCCTTTCATCCTATATGATTTAAAGTTATGAGTTTCAGGTTGCCTGACATACCTTCTTTCAAAGATTTATTAATAAGGTATTTAGAGAACTAAATATTTTCCCCCATACCTGGATGATGCTTTGATTGCGTCAAATACTGAAGAGGAGCATGAAAAACACTTAAAATTAGTTTTTGATAGGTTGCAAAAATATGGATTCAGACTTAATATTTTTAAATCTCTTTTTTAGAGTTAACGAATTGGAATTATTAGGTTTTCTAATAAGAAACATGGATTATCCCAATCCTGGCACTAGATCAAAAAAATTAATTTATTTGGTCAACTAGCAAGAAAGATATTAGCACGTTGCACCGAAATTCATTAATAAATTTCAGTCAGAAATGTTTCAAACCCTGCCCAGGATCTGTGACATTAAGCTTTCCCATACTACAGCCTATCATCTACAGTGCAATGGCAAGGTTCACAGATCAAAAAAGGCTGCTATAAAAGGACATAATAATACAATTTGAAGTGAAATGTTATTAACAGTTGTCTTTGGCCTACGAAAAGCAATCCATGATGATACTAAATATACAATAGGCAGAGATGGTATATTGAGAAAACATGAAATTTCCTAGAGAATTCTTTGAAGCAAAAATAAATCATGCACCACCTGGAACTTTTATAAATAAATTACAGAAGTATACGGAGTTAATCCACCTGAAGAAAACTCAACAGAAAGGTATCTCTAAATTATCTGTACATAAAGAATTAGGATCAACCTCTCCTTTTTTTCTTCTCATTCAATGCAACTCAAATGCCCATATAAAAGTCCATATTCTGTTATCAGTCATTTAACCAAAATATTTTATGCTTGGGATCAAAAATAAAGAACTCAATGTATCGCTAGATTGAAGCCAGTATATATTCATAGCCATTCGAACAAGCGACTTAATATAATGGCAAAAGCTATTTCACAATTCCACACAGCAAATTCCTGAGCAAAAGAAATCTACAACTCCAAATTGTGCAAACAATGAACCTACACTGGCTCACTTTCAAACTAGAACATTTATGGCTCAATCCAAAATCAAATCAACTTTAAGACAATGCCGGTCTGGTAAAATTCTTGACACCGCTGTGATACAAAATCTGATATTGTATATTTATATATTAATTGTGTTATTATTTTGAGAATATGCACCATTACTTGGTTCCTTTCTACAAATATTTTAATAATTATAAATGTTTACTTTGTATTATCTTTTTTTGGCAATAGTTTTTATATTGGATTTCTTTTTAAAATCCAGCATTTTGTTTTTTAAAAAATCATTTTAAACTACAATTGAAAAATAAAGGATTTCGTATGAATAAGGTAGTATTCGTAGTTGAATAAAACACTGTTAAGGTAGTAAATCTTTACCTGTATCTTATTACATTGTCTCAACTCAGAACCAACAAACCTTAAGGGAAATTTGCCCATACTCACACTCGCTACAGATGAGAAAAACATGCCATAGCACTAAACTGTGAGGAAAAAAAAACTGGGCAAAATTACCACAGCTCTAAAACTTGAATCAATCAGCCATCTAACAGTTCCACGTATTTTACTAATTATATTGTTGGCATGTCTGTAAGCACAAACAAACACACATATATTGCAAAGAATTTTAAAAACAACATACCTTGGAGCATACATCATTGCAAGACTACTGTAATACCCACTGGTAAATCCTAATGCAACTGCTCCTCCAAAATATGCCCAGTCATTTGTGATGAACACAGGAATTCGTCTTCTACTAGGTATATAGTTACACAACATAAAAAAAGGTATAAAGAGAACACGCAGAATAACTGGCACACACAGGAATTTGGGTCCTGGCTGAAATAATTTAAATAACTTAGTTCCACAGTACAAATCTAATCCATATTTAAAATTAATAATCATAATTCAATAAGGAGAGATTATGACCCCATTTCAAAAATACTATGCAGTAAAAATTCACATAATTTTACATAATTCAAAATATTCATTCAAAACACACAATATTATGCATACACACATTTTAAAACTATTTTACTAGTGAAAGAAAAAGCACACTTTTTCTAATTTATTAGAAGTCGATTATGCTTCACTACATCAAGTCACATAGTTATGTATCGATTTGCCTTCCCGGCATCTTTTTAAACTAAGAGTTAAGCTTGCTTTTTACTTGGGGGGGAACCTTCTGGGAAGTACTGAATTTGCATTTTTATTTGATAATTGAAAATTCAATACAATCAGCAAGTCATTTTCATCTAGACAATGGCCTTTACTTTCAACCCTTTACTAGATTAGAAATTCACAGTATTTATATTAACAGGTGCTGGAGATAAGGAACTGTTAGATATAAAAGAACCATTCACAGAATGTAAAGAAATTTGGTAAAATGTTCTATTATGCAGTAAATTAACCCAAAACCTTTACCAATAGTCATCAGAGGGATTATTTGACCAAAAAGCATCATACAGTGTTTTGTACAATGAGGATAAGTAACATTTCAGTTTGTGCAGCATCTAAGCTATTACTACTCAAGGATATTTTTTATTCTGACATAACATCATACTTACAAATAAATAACATTAATATGCAGTCCACAGATGCATAGTACATATACAGTACAAAGTCTGTAATCTGGACTCGTCGGGACTTCGGCGATTCTGGATTAGGGGTTTACTACAGATCATCAATTTAAATCTGGTAAGATGGCATGCAGAAATTATACAGTTAAAAATATGAAACTGTAATTTATGAAATAAAGAGCAATTATGATCTAAAGGGTATCAAAATTTACCAAAAAAAAAACGCGTAATATTTATTTGTTTACTTTAGCAAACATTTCTATCACTGTAAGTTGTTTAAGTTGCTTCATTTTTGTGCTAATACTTTCTCTTCAATTCTATAAACAGATAAATTTCTTGTTCAGTTACAAAGTTCCACTGTTCAAGTTCTGCAATTGCTGTGTCGAGAATACGACTAACTTGTCAATCGAATTTTTTTCGTTTTCAATAACGTTCTCTGTTACTTTCTTCACTATCGGAGGCGTGCATGGGTAAACGTTTTACTGGCTTTATGCACATGCATAGCAGACGCGTGCATTCAACGCGCATGCATAAGTTTGTGGCTTTGTGGTCTGGATTACAGATCATTCCAGATAATGGACGTACAGATTAGAGACTTTGTACTCTACCACATTATTATCTGGTCCACAGAATAATGTTTTCTCAATATTGAGTAATTCTGTCTGCCCATCTTTCATTCAGCCTAAAACTTTCCAATATTTTTGCTTTTGCTTGTTTGTTTTAGTAGAAGACAAACAGCAAAAATAACTTCCATGTATATGACAATCTCAGTTTGCTCAGACAAGAAAATTGACCTCTCCCTGAACTGTATACAGTCTAAAAGTTTTAAATTGTCATTTCTGAATGCCATATTTGTTCTAAAACAAAAATTTGGGGGAAAAAACGAGTTGGCAGATTTATGGATTACAGAATCTACATTTTTCAAATCTGGAATTTCCATATTTCAGAAATAAAAAAAAAAAAAAATCCAGAATTCCAGATATATCTGGACTGCAATCAGCCCTCTAAGTATTGTTTTATACCTAAAGAGAAATTAACATTTCATCCAATATAAGAAGTGCATATAAATGTGATAAAAGATACTGGCTTTAAGGATTCTTTGATCTTATATTTTAACTGTAAAAGTTCACAATTTGTTACTTCTTACTTTTAAAACTTTCAGTTTGCTTCAATTCATAGGTCAACGATGCATCACTTGTTTGGAAAATAAAGCAATAGACTAATAATTATGCTGCATACATTTGGAAAATAAAGCAATAGACTAATAATTATGCTGCATTCTTTAATTGCTATGTGTCCCTTCACAGCAAGGCTGGCAAATGTGCATTCAGGCAAGTGCATATTACATATAGCCAGGCCTTGCTAACTGCTAAACTTCTGCCCTAATTTGGAAGGAACATTAAGGATCTTCCTCTCCTTTATGCAACCACAAACCTCTCAAGAGGACTTTTATCTTGCCATGTCTTCCAAGTGCCCCCTATAAGCTTACAAATATCCATGCCTTCTCTGCAATTCGAATCCTGGCCAATTAGTATGGTAGCCTGCATCACTAAACTCTATACCAGCTGGGTGGCACAACCTTTAATAGTAAACTGCTGTATGTGTTTGATACTAATGATATCAATATTTCGGGCAAAATGCCTAGCTTACATGACCAGGATAGCAAACATACAATCAATGATACTTCAATTCATAATATTTACACTTAGTTCCAGTTTCAAAAGGATTTTTTAAAAAAGATGATTGGTAATACAGCTTATCAATGAAAAGTTCCAAAGATCAGGACTGAATTTCATACGTTTGAGAAGGAGTTTTTGTAACTCATTACTGCAAATAAGCATGTATAACATCAATCAAGATAAAATTGATTTATTGGCAGACTGTTCACATATCAAAATGTGGACTATGAAAAATTGGCATGAACTCGAAAAAAAATGCCAATTTTAATGCATTAAATTATTTTATTAAAGCTCTTAACAATTTATCCTTCAAATTTCATTCAACCTATTGTTGCATTAAAGTTTAAACATAATCACCCAAGCATTTATTTACTCATAATAAACAGCTAGCCGACAGCAATCACTGAATGAAACATCTTCCAACCTTCAATTCTTAATTTTTCTCAAACACACACACATACATATATATACATTCCTCATCCAGAAATGTATAATAATGAAAACCTGAATTGTCAATACGTGTGTGTGTGCATCATCTACAAACAGTGAAAAATTTGGCTAATATTCTATAGAAAGGCAGTTAAAAAATTGTATACTAGCTGCCAAAACTGCCAAAAAGTACTTAAAATGAACAGATGAAATCTAATGAAAATTTAATCTATAATGAAACTAATGAAAATTAGATCAGAATACAGGATATCTTACTGCAGAAAGCTGTTTCATTTGATAATCATTTTAACAAAATACAAATAATAGACATTTCCAAGTCATAATCCATACCCTGACTAAAGATCAAACATGTAGCATACATGAGGTACTATAAAAAAGAATCAACACAGTAATTTTGTTTACACCAGCTACAATTAAAGAACTGAATCAAAGTTTCAGAAATAGCCCACAGCAGCCAAGCAGTAAAACTGCTCACCACACTAATCAAATGTTAAACTTTTAATATGGTCCCCCCCCAAGCAATGTGAATGATAGCCAGTTTTGCTTAAAATGCCCCTTATTTCTTTTACTCTATTTTTTTTTTTTTTTTAATATTTTTGCAGCCATCAAACAGAGTTCTTTGTCCCAACAATAAAAATGCTGGAAATTTTTTTAACTTAACTAGATTTATTTTGAGCACTTTAGAGGATATACTTGTGTAAGGTACTTAAGTTAAACTAACCAGTTATTATGATTCTAATCTTTAACTTCTTTCCATACTACAGAATGTAAATTTAGCTCACGGTGTATTTAAGCTGAGGTTTTTTAATCTTGGAGAGAGTTGGCAGCACAAGATTAGATTAGTTAGCGCAAGGCATGGTTAGATTTCTACCAGCTCTAGCTAAATGTAAAACTATCTTGGCTTTGTCATCTTCCACATCTGATATTTTAAACCTATGCCCCATTAAATTATTTCAGTTAGTTTGTGGCTTAGTATTTAATGTGCAGTCTCAGACTATTAAGCAATGTTAAAATTGATTTGACTGTTCTCGTTTAATTTGCACTGTCACAAACCCTGGCCATCTGTAGCATGAGCCATGCCCTGTTTTGTTGAAAGTTCAGCTCAAAAAACGGTTGTTTAACCTTTGTAAGTCTTGTCATGCTATTTTAGACATAGAGATAACTCATTGCCTGTTTAGTAGAGTAAAATTCCAGTATCAGATGAAGTATAACCTTATAGCCAAAATACTACTGCCTTTCTGTAATAATCTTGTTGCCCCGGCTATAGCCAAGTCTATAAGACCACTGAATACTGGTAGTTCAACTGTTTAGGTTTGATCCCAGGCAAATAGGTTTGCTGCATAGTTGGTTTTTTCCATATTTGATATAAATATGAGCCAGTTTTCCTCTCCTATATGAAGCTGTCCCTTCTCTTAGGCAGAAAGCCCACGTAGCTGTACCACATTCAAATACTATAACATAATCCTGTGATATATTATCCACGCCCTGGTTCCCCCTCCTCCAAATTCATTATTTTTCTGTGAATTCATTTTCAAATGTGATCTGAATAATTTTAAAAGCTTGTCTGTTCAGTTGATGAGGCAAGATTTCCCTTCTTGAACTGTAATTTCTTTAATATTCATTTCAAATCTTGGATATTATAGATTTCTTCAGTTTAATACTTCTTGCACACAATCTAATAATTTCATATCCTGGCTATATAATCTTGAAACATCATCTAGACCATATTGTATGTATTGATACCACCAATTAAAGGCATAGTTTAGAATAAAGTCTGATCCAATGTTTCCCTAATACCTACCCATCCACTTTTAAATGCAAGTTTGCAATATAGAGCAATTAGCAAAAAAGTTACAGCAGCTTGCATTTAAATGCATATAATCTCTCTCTCTCTCTCTCTCTCTATATATATATATATATACAGAACATTAACTGCTATGACTTTGAAAAATTATATACCTCACTTCCTCTAGAAGAAATCTATACTAGTCTATTAGATCTGCCTAAACTCTTCCCCGATATGCTCACAATAATGAATCTTAACAAATGGAAAACCTACCTAAAATGCACACTTTTTCCTAACTACATCAAATTTCAAAATCGACTTTTTAAACAAGTAAGAGGTCTACCAATGGGATCCCATTCCAGTACCTCGCTCTGTAATATCTTCTTATTTATCAAAGAATTTAACTTCCAAAAAAATCTACAACCACAAGAATTAAATTACTAAAAGCACACTTACAGATATATTGATGACCTTATTACAATTAATAATTTTAATAAAATTGAACACTCCGAGATTTATCCAAATTGTCTTACACTTAATAAAACTAATAATTCACAAAATAGCATAGACTATCTAGATCTTTAAATCATTAACTACAAAAAAAATTTTACTTTTTGACAAAGAAACTTCAATTTCAATATTAACAAATTAATAAATTGGAATTCCAACATATCCAAAGAAGTAATTAACAATACAATAATAAATCAAATACAAATAATTAAAAATATCTGGACAGATACGATAGATCTACAATGTGAAATTTTGCTCCTTATTAAAATTCTCAAAAATAACCTAATACCCAATCAATTTATTAACCATTGCCTTAAAAGAGCAGGCATTAAATACTCACTATAAATCATTTAACTGATAGGGATATGATAATTTGTTCCTAAACCTGAGAAGGTGGTATAAGTTGGATGACTATCAGTTGAAGGTTTTATACATAGTGTAATTACTAAGCTGTATATAATGTAAAAAGCTAATTGTCTTCAGACTTATGCTGTTATACTATAAAAATGGGCCTATTTCATAATCTTTAGTCTGTCAAATAGCTCTTTGACAGTGAAAATTCCTTTGTTCCTTTTCATAATTTCTTAATTGTTATGACACGACAATTAGCCAGAAATTAATTAATTTCCATTCAATTTATTTTCAAAAAAATAAAAAATTTAAAAAAAAAATTTAACAGACGATTTCACTCAAATAAGAGCTCCACCACATATGTCCCTCAAGAATTCCTAGTCCCTCCCACTGCCATAAATTACTTCCCACAAGTCTTACTGAGTGATATAATTCAAAGCCCCCGCTGCCGAGAAAGAATTTCTGAAACACAACCCTTCAGAGTCAGACGCAAAGGAAACACTTTACCCATTCCCCACTAGAAAGAACGCAAGTTAATTAATGCTTTTTCTGGCCTTTATATCTTCATGTACATTCACTTTTCTTACATATTTTTTTAATATTTTTTATTTTTTGATTTGTTTTTACAAAGGTTGCATTATTTTTCTTATGTTATGTAATTTTCTATTGTTTATTTCAATTACTTTGAATTCTATTTCATAATGACAATTTCCAATGTTTAATTTTTACAAATAGTTTTGAACTAAAATGCATAAACACGAGGGTGTGTCGGGGACAGTTACTCAAGCGACATCAATTTTACTGCAGAAATTGCTTTTCACTCAAAATTGAATTAGCTAAAATGCTTTATCGGAATGAGTTCTTTGGTTCTCTATCCCTTCTATTCACAGAAATGTTCGGCCTAGCTTGAATTGCCAGTTTGGCATCGCCTTATTGCTCGAGTAAAGGATGAAACACCTTCGTACTTATTTCTTAATTATTGTTCATTGAACAGGAGTTGGTTTAAAAGTCAACTAATTTCCGATCAATGGCAATGATTACTTGTATTTAATTACTTGCTTTTAATTTATTTCTTTTCACAAATTGAATTTTTTTATTCATGATTTAATTCAAGTCCCCGTTAAACATATTTAACAATTTATATTCAAGTTACTTCAGAACATCTTTAGAAATAGAACTTACTAAGTATGGATTCACTCTTTTAAGATAATTCTAACAAATTTCAAAAGACAGGATACAACGTTATGCAATGCAAAACTTGTGCAGATATTTTCTTGAAAGATAGTTATATATATATAAACTTAAAGTGCAGCAAACCATCATAAGAAGTTAACGTATGGTGATTAAAACATTTTTTTTTGTCTGTCTGTCTCATCTATAGAAGTTCTGCAGTTAACTTCTAACTTCATATTTTTTTTTTTTTTTTTTTTTTTTTGAGTGTATAGAATCAACTGTATCCATCCTCCCTTGAATCAGTTTAAAGCTCAAATAAGCGAAAAATCACAGTTTTATTAAAAAAAAAAACTGAAGTATTTTCAATAAGACATTGAAATTACTCAAGAGAAATGCTACACACAGAAAACTATAAATATTAAAAAGAACTGCTAAATCAGTGTAAATAGAAAATTGCAAATATACAAATTTTACTTCACTAGTGCACAGAACTTGAGTAACATTTCTGATTTTGGATTAACTCACAAAAAATCAAGTAAGAGACATGAAATTCATAATACAAAGCTGCAATGTAGTACTTAAAAGATGAGAAAAGTTTAGTAGCAAAAAACTGAATAGGACATACAGTAAGACATGAACAGAAAACACCTTTATTGACAGAATAATGTCCATACAAAACAACTGCCTGGTCAAGAGGAAGAACAATAAATCTAAGAGCCTAAGTAAAGGATATCACTTTCCCCTAACTGAAATGGTTCCACCGTACCATCTGTCAAACTAAGTACCAGATTATTTAATAGCTCTTTGGGTAAGAGTTCCATTCTTCAAAGAACATCAATTTCAGCCATCTTGTGTCCTCTGCAGGGTGACATTATAGCACAAGGTGTCTCCCTAAGTATACCACACCTCTTCAATGGAATTTAAATTAGGCGAGCATGCTCGGCAATCCATTCTGTGAATATATTCACTTTCTAGGAGCTCCTCAACTGCATGAGTCCTATGTGGCCGAGCACTATCATCCATAAAAAGAAACTTAGGACTAATGGCACCCTGGAAAAGATGCACATAAGACATGATAACTTCATAATAGTAATGATCTTTGGTAAATGAACCTCTGTTTAAATTCCATCCTCCTCTTTGTCGCGCCTGCCAATACAAACACGCCAGGATCACTCCAAAAGTATTTCCCTGGTGCTAGTGGAATGAAAGCATGTTCCTACTCTTTCCATATCAACTGGTGTTGAGAATCATTTGTCAGACCGAAACCATTCTCTTCGGTAAAGAGGTCATGATTCCACTGGCGAGGCGTCTAATCTGGCGAATAAGCGAATAGGCCACTTTGATGAAGATGTCTGACCAGAGTAAACTGGAACAATTCATTCAGTTCTCGCATTTAACTGCTCAGCAATATTGCCCACTAGCTATCTGTGCCGCATTTCAATACCTTCTTGCCAGCAGAGTGATATACTGGTCATCAGTCACAGTTGTTTTCCTTTGCCCACCACCACCAAACTTTATTACAGCTATACCTATCATTTGGAAGGCTTTCAAAGTTAATGGAAAAAACACATATCAATTTCATACCCTTGGGAGTTTGACATTAAATATGCCATTCCTCAAGCTTGCTAATCATTCAACCATGTGGAAATGTGTCTTGATGTTTTCTTGTAGCCATACTAGACACACAATCTTATTTTCAGTTGGAGGAGAATACCTAAAAATGCTCCTTTTTCTTTTCAAGTTGCCTTGCACTGTGCACGCAGACCCCTTGCCTTTTGTATGCCTGATATACTACCCTGTTACATCATGAAGCTGATATTTACATACGCATCACCTTTCTACTGAGTTACCTTTTCATTGTACTGATCACAAAAAGCCCTTTTCAACAATTTCATGGTTGTATGTTGAAAAATGGATTTGGTGTTTAAGTTTTGCCCACTATTGTTATCTTAGAGATTTGACAAAATGTAAAATTCTGCCAAAATTCATAGAAATTTCATTGGTGATCAGAAACTCCATATTTCATATTTTTTGCTTTAGAATATTAACAGCCAGTATTTTCAATGTTATGCATTTCTATATGCATAAATTCAAATATACTTTTTTTGAGAAAACACAGTTCAATGCTGGAAGACATTCCTTGTTAAAAACCTTGTTGAAAAGTTAAAAACTTACCAGGAATCCAACTTTGAAATTGGACACATGTTACACACATTCAGTTACATTAACAATTTTAGCAATAATAATTTGCATAATTAACTAATCTTATTAAAAATTTAGCTAGATACTGTATAATTAATAAATGCTCACCCATTTTATCCAGTTAGGGACCATACTCCCAACCATTGCAAAGAAATTAAAGCAGAGATAGGTAGTAATTGGTGTAAAATAAACATCTGTAAAAGAAATATGATAAAATGTAAAGAAAAAATTTATTAATTATCAATTTAATATTGAGAAAACAAAATTAGTAATAAAAGGTACACTTTTCTATCTGCACAAATAAAGTTGTAATAAAGTTACGAGATCCAATTTAAATTAATTTGTGTAATTAAATTTCTTTTCTCCCATCTATAGCTTATCTGTTATATGGCAAAAACATTTTACCTCAACTCAAGCCTCGTAACTTCACAGAATATAACATACTTGCAAGTGCTCTTATTTTTACAATGGATAGGTATGCTAGGAAAACATACTGTTTAAAAACACACTTAAATATACAAAGGACAGAAAATACATGTTGAACTTCTGTGTGTTTGGCATGCCTGAGAAACACGCACTCCAAAACACATACAGTATGGATGCTGTATTAATTCAGACTGCTTATATTGCAGGGTTGTCTGCAAATGATGCTTTGAAAATCAAAGTATGGACAGTACAGAGTTAGCAACTTTGGTGAACATCATACTACCACTGCCACTTTCAGGGATGCAAGCTGGTTGCACCACATTGTCCAATATAAGAGTCAGACTAGTAACACTGACAATGTTATTTTGACTGGCATTTTCAACAGGGTTAACCCTCACCATCATGATTGCAGTAGACCTAGGACACATTTCTCAAGAGGACCGTACAAAGTGAAAGCTACTTGCCATTTATAACCATTTATTTGCATCATCTGAATGTACTCTCTCATGAAACTCTGTTAAAAGAAATCCAGCAAGAGCTTGACTACACTGAATTACCTAAGACAGTTGCAGTCATGAAACTCAGAGTGCATTAATCTGCAGACATAGCATATTTAATGATGATTCATGATTTTAAGTTGCCCTGGATAACCACAGAATTCACCAACGGAAGAAGTCTGGCCAACACTGCCGACTCCCTGCTATCGTAGGGTAGCATTAAGTTCATCACACCTAGCTAGCCAATGCTTATAGTTACCTGGTCACCTACTGATCCTTTGGGTCACATTAACTTTTTCACACAGAAGTTCCCCAAATTGCCCAACTATTCAGACATCGGCAGGTCGCCTGAATGGCTGAATTATTTTCCACCTGGTTCTTTCTCCCATCACGTCGGTGCATAGCTCATTGCTTTTGAGTGTTGTTAAATGACATGCCAATTATTATTTTGAAGCGACTAAAAGTAGTTCTCTTATCTGAATGCAGCTTCCTTCTCCTTTGTTTAGCAATTGATGCTGGAAGTTGCAATCCTCTCCTAAGGAAAAACGCACACGGTGAAAGTGCATGAAAATTCCAAGAGAAGTTTTCGCTTTGCTTAAGTAGGTTATTATTAACACTTTAACATTCTACTTGGCATGGAGGAAGGAAATTCGTTGCAACAAACATACATACATACATATGGGCATTTTAGATTGAATGAAGCAGATTTTGGCCTCTGCTGATGTGAAAGAGTTACTGCTTGATCAGTACATCATATGACCTGGTGCACCAACAATGTCTGTCAATGGCTCTCTTTTAGATAGATATCTGCCCACACATGATGAAATCTCTTGTGTATGTTTACATGCAGACACTGATCTCTAGACCCAAAACAGCCATTTTAGGATACCAAACACATCCATCTCACAACGTGCAAGAATTTGCTCTTACAGAACCTTCTGCAGGATGGCATAGGTCTATATGCCAGACTGAATATCTGTATGCACTGCCACTCTGCATGCAATACTTAGCACTTCATACTAATATATTACTTCATTTTTGTCTCCTCACCGCTTAGATCAAGTTATTTTATCAGCGAACAGTTTTTAAATGCACAGACCATTTCGTACACATTCAAAGCTATACGCATTGTGGAATTTTTACACTCACAAATGAGTTATCTTCAGATTCAAGCAACTATTACATTTTGATTTTAAATTACTCAAAACACAAATTTTAGTCCATCCTTCATGACAAAACTATACTTTCCACAAATTTTAAAAATCTGAAAATGAGTATGAAAACCTCATATTTAATGCAGTTTGCTAGTTTGTTTAATTTTCAGTCCAAAGCCAAACGCAAAGGTATACAATTTCCACATAGAAACAGCTGAAAGAATGCTAAATATGCTATTAGTACAGATTTGCTAAAGCTAGCCAGTCACACAAGATAATAAGAACAATGCCATGGCCTCACAGGCCTCATTTTATATTACTCCATATTAGCTAGTACACTAGGTGTTATCAAGTTTACCTAATAATACAACAGCCAGCAAGAAATGGCAAAAAATACAGGTATTTCTAGCTAGTCTAGCAGCAAGAATAATTAATGATTTAAGTATACTTCAGCTAATACCTAATGAGATCCCTCATTATGAAATAAGCTACAAACTCAAGCTTTATCTTAAAATTCGTAATTAAACACAGAAGAAAATGTTACTGCTATTCTCTAGGTACAATTTTAAACCAATTTGGTTTGGTTCCATTTCTTTGATTATGGTAAAGCATGCAAGGACTATCTGCCTAAAGGAAGAGATGCCTTTATGGAGGGCTTTCAAAGGGAAACTAGCTTGTATCCATATTAAACATGGGGAAAATCAAGAAAACAGTCATATAGCCAGCCTGTTCACCTGGAATTGAACTCAGGATGAGTTACCAGTATTTGGCAACTTGACTGCTTGGCCACTAATGGACCCAATTTTAAAACGACCTTCAGATGAAAACATCATTATTTTATAACAGGTCACAGATCCACTACTTGCCAATAAGTAAACAGAATGCTTACCCTATAGAAGGAGTCTTTATATTTTGCTCGTATACAATGTAATTACAATATCATACAATGTTAACTTATTCTGATACTTACCAATTCTTATTCACATACAGTAGGAATTAAAATTGCCCTATATTACAGGAGCAAAACAACTTTGTTTCTTATAAACAAATACCAAAATTAGTGCAAAGTAGAATTTTTATTTAACACATTAGTTTTTTTGATTTGATGCATCTGAACTTTAATTCAGAACATAGGCAAATCCTCCCTAATCTTGGCAAAGCAATCAAACATATCTTATATAAGGTGGGGCAAATAAAAAAAGGCTCAGAAAACAGTAACTCTATTCTCTATTTGCCCTCCCCCCCGGTATAATATGCAAGTTGTTCAGAAAAAAGATTTTAAAAGAAAACAAGTTAATAAGGCTTACAATTTAGCACCAAACTCTCAAATTTTCTGAAATATATATATTTTTTAATGATGAAAAAGCTGTCTGCTAAAATTCTAAAGGAGGGAGACTTAACAATGGGAGGGAATTGGTACTTTGAGGAGATTTTGCAAATTTCTAAACTTTTAAGTCATGCATCTGCAAAATTTTAATTTGGAAACCTCTTTTTATGAGCTTTCTAGTTGTGTATTGTTTCTTTATTGTTATAAACATATTTGTTTTCAGTCAATGTGTGCTCACACTCTTTCAACAATAAGTATCAGAAGATACACATTCTTTTTGCAATACTAATTACCTTAACGAAGTTAAGCAAAGAAGGCATTTAATCTTTGAGAAATCTGGCTACAACTTCGAAGAAATCCTAAATCGCCTGTTTGAAGATGCATACTTTATATTGCTCCCATACATCCATGCAGCTCAAATATTACATTTGATGTGATAATCATTATTAACAGTTAAAAAGTAAACATACAGCTCAGATGTGATAAAATTATGAAAACAATATAATGGCTTCCAACAGTTACATTTATTTAACTAAATATAAATACCAACACAAGAAGTAGATATAACTTCGATTTGTGCACCAAATGAGAATTCAAATGAACTTTCATGTAAACTTGTTAAAACTATTACCAAAATCTTCCAAGTTTAGATAGCAAACTAGTAAAACATAAAAAAAAAGTTTTCAATAAATCAGTGAAATTGCTATATAAAAATAGTACATAAAAACTGCAATTGATTCAGCCCATTTAGAAATGCATGATGTGACTGAAAACTGGGGGGGGGAACCTGCAAAAAGTATGCAAATATAACTAACTGTATTTTGTGAAGAACTGTATTTGATTGAAGCACTTTCCAGCTTCCAAAAATTTCAAAATATTAAATTCTTGTCAAGAGGTTTGCCTTCAGTGATGAAAAGCCTCCCATATTGCTTTTAGCCTCAACTTTATAGATTTAGCAACTAATTTCATTAAAACCTGTTTCTTATACATCATAGAATCAGCTCTTTTTTCCAAATCAATTTGAAATTTAATGCTAGAAGACCTTCCTCGAAAGTCGATACTGTGTTTCCTTGAAAGCTCACACTGCTAACACTGCATTTGAGATTAATTTCAAGAATGAATTAATAGTAAGTAAGAGTAATAAAAATTCATCAGATTGTTAGATATTTTTTGACTTAATCGTATGAAAGAGACACATTTTGCTTTCAATGTAAAAAAAAATTAAACACATAAGAATAATACATAACGCAGCAGGATAGCAGGATTCATAGCATATTAGAAAAATCAAACCAAAAGCAAATGCTTTTTATTTATTACTAGCAAAATTTCCACTGTGCAAAGAAAGAATGAAAAGAAAGAAAACTATTTTTATATTAAATATAAGTTAAGAAAAGTTAATAGAATTATCAGGGGGCAAATTCTGGAAAAGAGGAAAGTCATTCATGTAACAACAAATCATGTAATGCTACGGGTGCTGCTATACAACTGACCGACCCCTTCCATACCTCCCACACAGAGGCAAATCTTCTCTAATGTAATTATACATTATTCACCTCATGTAGTGGTGGACAAAGGTTTGTGCCTGATTACGAGTGAATACGGGTGGCAAATTTCTTGCCACCATATTGGCCATGTTTGGAAAACTTGCTCGAGATACCCAATAAGAAGCTACAGAAAGGTTATTATTCATAAAAAAAGGTATCATAGAATAATTATACTACAAAATGCTTCAATGGAGATACTCAACAGTCCAGTTCTTCTTATTAAAAAAATACACAGAAATAGCAGCTCATTAGAATAATGCCACATCACACCATCTGGCATGTACAAACATTATGCCAAATGTACTGTGCAAAGTCGAAATATGATTTGAATGCTACCATAGCCTATATTTTATAAACTTCTCATAGTATCAGTATAAAAAATACTATATATAACTCATAACATTCTTACCTGGAATTATAAAATTAGGATCTATAGGTTTTATTTCAGCATGAATTGCAGGGAAGATAGTCAGAGTGACAAAGAACACAAAAAAGACATTGAAACACTGAGGCCATATCTGAAAAAAAAAATCATTATAATTAAAATGCTATATACTTAGCGTAGATTCCAGCCTACAGCAAAACTTGGTAGTAGTCAATGCATGTACATTTCTACAACTATGAAAATGGACATGTAAGGTATATTTTTTGTAAATAATCAGTCAACATTCGTGAAAACATTATAAAATACAAAATATGGCTTATAAATTATGTACATATTTAATTAGAACTGTTATTACTCAATCAGAAATATCACTAAATCTAATATATTTATGAAGTGAATATTTTCAATCATAAATAATCATACAAAAGGGTTATCAAAATCAATAAACCATAAATCGTCATGAGGCTTTTGGATTCTGATTTCTATAGAGATATTTTAAAACAATTTTTAAATAAAGACAAAAAGATACATATAATCATTATAAAAATATAAATTATGAATGCAAAAATGTGTAAGCAGCACATTTAGCAAGCTAGATTTTGAATCAGAGAATCTTTTTCTATGACATGTGGACTGCTGTGTCACCTGTATCCAGATGAGGGCAAAAATTCTGATTATGCTGCATATTCAGGTGACGTTTATTTGAGTACTTATGAGGCATAGCAGGTATCTGAAAAAATTACTGTTGAATGGTGAAAGTAAGAAATGAAAATGACTGTTGCCATCAACTAAACTCATTCCATTCACTAAACTGAACTGTGCTTTCTTTGGTATCAATTTTTCTTTCTTCCTAAACAGCCAATTCTTGTAAAATATGATTACCTACACCACATTTATTATCAATTCATTTATCAGTATCCAAATGAGAATCTGACAACTATATAATTATATTTTATAAATATCTTTCTGAAAAATATCGGCTGTTTCTCATAGCTATTATTCGAATTTTCATAATTCATAACAGGTTTCTTCTTCATTGCTATACGATTCACTTAAAAATAACTCTTCCATTTTTCTTTTAGGCATTTCAAAGAAACTAAGGCAACAATTTTAACATGCATAAAAAATGTTTTTAATTATTCATCTCTACAGAAGAAATAATTTTCGAATTCAACACCCCCCCCCCCCCCCCCCCCCCCCCCCCCCCCCCCCCCCCCCCCCCCCCCCCCCCCCCCCCCGCCCCCCCCACCCCCCCCCCCCCCCCCCCCCCCCCCCCCCCCCCCCCCCCCCCCCCCTTCCCCCCCCCCCCCCTCCCCCCCCCCCCCCCCCCTAACCCCCCCACCCCCCCCCCCGACCCCCCCCCCCCCCCCCCTACTTCATTCTTGAGGAAAGATTTTCAACTGAATGCATGTCCCAAAATGTTTTGTTCTAGCTATTCTAAACTCTTACTATCAGAAACAATTGGTGCATGGTATGACTGAGATTTTCTTACAAACTAGCACAGCAATCAATCTAATAACACAATTCATTTGCCAGAAATTTACTTTTTCGATGACAACTGCTTTAAGAGTTTTTATACTTAAATTCTTTCTGATAACAGAATTTTTCCCCCAAAGGTTGCAAATTGAATCAAGTATTATAAAGCTGCAAGCATCAAAACTAGCAATACTATGTATTTTATACACCCTTTAATATTTTTAATTTTGTAATTTCTCTTAATGCTATATCAATACCTAAACTTCCAGCTTCTTTTAATATATCTACTTGATACAAAGATAATTCAAATTTATTTGGTCAAAATATTTTCCATCAATTATGGATGGAAAATTATTTCACTATGAAACAAATGTACAAAAATAAACCTTCAGTCTTTAACCACTTGCGCTACGACTAAACTTCATGGTTGCGGTGCCGTGCGCTACAATATAACAAGCAGTAAAGTGTCTCATTTACGCCGCTCTGCGTCTGCGAGTTCAATCCAGAGCTGTAACTCGAGGAATAAACAATCTCGTTGTTAGGTGACGCGTGCACGTTATTTTCATTTTTGCGATAAATGCCTATTGATGCAGTGTTCACGTGGCACACGGTTTGAGACAAAAGCATCTTGGCGTGTGTGGCTCGTCTTTTTAGCACAAGTGGTTAAATTCATACCAGTAACTTCAGCATGTTTCCAAAAATTGGTCATTTAAAGAAAATTTATCTACTACATACGAGTATGCAGCTACAGGAAAAAAAAAAGCCAGTGCAAAATTTAAAAATAATTTTGCTTCATTTTTATTCAACTGGGCATTTTTTTAATATCTCAATGTTGTCCCAATAGTGAAATTTTTTTTAAGTACACCATTTAAATGGAACAGGTTTTAGATTGGCTTCTGCAACATCTTCAGAAATTAAAGATGGTTTTACAAAGTCAGCAAATTCATTAAAAGTTCAAGCTTTCAAAACTAATAAATATAATTTGCTGCAACATTTAACATTTTGCTCATCTTTTTTTGTCTTCATTTGCATTAATGTCTGACTGCTGTGGCATAAGTTTAACGAAATATAAATTTACTTTCTCCCCTTCTGCCTCATTTCACTATATGGTTTACTCATTCCTGAATTTATGTAGATTTCAGAGGCAAGCAGTTTTTATTATAAAGTCTAGCTGCTACCTTCTCGAGTCAAATGTTGCCTCTACGCGACTCTTATGCTAGTCTTGATATGGATATTGGTAGACTGAGGATATAGATTCAGATTTTGTAAGCTATTTGTTTTAATTTCTTCCATAGTCTAGGCAAATCTTGTAGTCTCTATTCAGGTTAGATTATGTCGTTGAATTCATAGAAATTGTGAAACAGGTTGGTAAGTTTATGTTTTGTGTATTAATTTAATCCATCAGAGAAGTGGTAAGATTAAATAAATTTAAAGTGATTTTACTTCTGTGTCTGTTTGCTTGTCAGTTTTAAGTTAAAAATTTTTTTAGTGAAAATTCACTTTGGAATTTAGGTAGTCCCTTATTTTAACTGGAATTGAGCTAGCTCAAGTTATTTGTACCCATAGCAATATATAATACTTGTATAGTTATAATGCTTCCTTTTTGAACATTTTTCTAAATAAATATTTATATCAGATGACAACATTTCTATTTCTAAACCAATTAATTTTTCAGCAGTTTTTTTTTTTTTTTCCCCAGAAATTGCATGTACAACCACAGATGATTACAGCTGCGTAGCTTTTTCTTGCAAGTATACGCAGCATGTTGCATGGACAACATTGGATGATCACAGCTGGTTAATGCGTTTTGATAAATCATGTTACACCTTTAAATTTTTCCAACATATTCGTAGCAATGGCTCAAGGAATAACCAATTTTTCCATTTAAAATTTTGTTTATAAAATACTCATTCATACAATAACCCTTCTGAAGTATTATTCCTGCATTCTAAAATAGAAATCGATGAAGTAATTATTACTGCTGTTTTTGTTATTATATCACAGTGTGCAGTTTGTTAACATTACTTTCATTAGTACTTGGAGCAACTGATGCTGATTCTACAATACTGGCAACAGTATTTACTGCAAGCATTTTTAAAATTACAGTACTTTTAGTGTGCAAACAGCTAATTTCTTTTGCTATGAGAGAATCCATAAAACATCATGTTAAGAAGTTGTATGATATGCTTTGAAGGAAAAAAAGTGTTATAACATCTATTTTATTCTCTTTTATGAAGAAATTTTATATTTCTTTCAGTTTTATAGCACTAAATTCGTTATGCCTTTGAGAAAACACATGCAGTTTAGTCATTTCTGCTGCATGTAAGTGAAAAGTCTTTACTGCATACAGTGTAAAATGCTCAGCTTACAGAAAATTTAGAAGTTTTAATGCATGGAAATTCTAAAGCATATGAATCTTTAATTTACATGAAACTTCTCATCTCAAACTAATATAAACAAGAATATGAATATTCTAGAAATGAAAATACCTTGCATAAAATTTTGCAATAAGGAGGCTGGCTTGAACTTGTCCTACTATCTGTAATAGCCTTCTGTTCTAATCTGTCATGATATCGATAGAAACGCTGAAAATTGAAAGTAAAATATTTTAAAATAATTCAGGAGACTTTACAAATATATTTAGTAAAATAACACAGCTAATAAAATGCACATATAAAAATTAGAAAGGTTTCTGAAGAAAACGTTTAAAAGCTATAATACTGATACTTTAATCAAACCTCAAGTCAACTTGTTAAATTTTATAAGAAAGACAATTTATCAGACATACTGTTTCAGAAATGAAATTTCCTGTGAGTTATTACATCACAAGTGCCCACTGACTCCATATGACAGCAGGTTAAGCATAAAAATATATCAAGAATCTCTCATCTGCTTTATCTTTTAGAAGCACAGATTTGCTGCCTTTACAAGCACAGATATCTCTCATCTGCTTTAGTTATTCCGATTAAGTTTTATTAATTATACCACCTAATTTCCATTATAGCAGAAAGATGCCATATTCAGGCACTTTCACTCACTTTTGACTCAAGAACTCTTATTTTCTCAAGCAAATACTGTTTGTTACTCTTATTTGTGGACACAGAATGCTGCTACTCAAAAAGATCGACACACAAACATGACTCGAAAACAATCAGACATGGCAAGCGAAAACAAGGGCCCTAATCTGGACACCGTCGAGATGAAAGAATAGGTCGTTTTTTTTTTGTGATCTACTCGACAAAGACCAAGTCTCATGTCGTCTCAATCATTACAAAGATCGATGCGTCGGAAATTTTTCTGTCACCTGTGTAGCTGCTGTTATAACTTTCTGACTATCGTTGTAGAGATAAACTGATGATGCTGAAGGTCACAGATAGTTATAGGAAGTGTACGTAATGGATATTTTAGTTTCTTAAGATTGACAAAAAACTCTGAGAGTTTCACAATAAAAATAACGCATTTGATGCTGACGATTCTACTTTTATTGGATTATTTCGAATTAACAAACCTATAGCATGACCCTTATTAACACGTTGAGCACGGCGGTGAACTTTCCATGTGGTTGGGACCGGCAATGAACTCTTCATGTGGCTGCCGTCGATCCCTGGGGACCAGCAGTGAACTTTCCATGCGGCAGGCAGCGGTCCCTGGTGACAGGCACTGGAATTTTTGTTTGGCCAGTGTCGGTCACTGGAATTTTCATTTCGTTGCCATTGATCTGAGGGACCCTTATTAGCTAAACTTCTGAATGTCTGAACAGAAAAAAGGCCAGCCAAATGGCTGAAAGGATAGGACAGCAAATCGGCGCCAGGCTAAACGTGTTAATAAATTAAGGGCATACTTTACCGGAGCATCCACATCAAAGACAGCAATAACTCCTGAATTAAAGGTAAGGAATAATTCGTTTGTTTTCACATCTTTATGATATAGGCTTCTGGCTATTGATCTATCAAATAATCAATTCCTTACTTTAATTTTAGTGACAGTAATATATTTGGTGTTTTCCTGTTTCACATATAAAAAAGGGTGCATACTTTTAATTTAAAATTGTAATTTTTAAACTCATATCTATATTAATGTACTTAATTTCATGTTTTATGATATTTAAAATTAAATTATAATTATTTCCCTCTACTTTTAATTTGCAGTGTATAAAAATGTAATACATTAACAAATGCATTGAAGAATATGCAGTATATATTCAAATTATGCACATCCTAAATTCAACATTCATATTAAATTGCTTTGAGTTCAAAAATTTATTTAAGTAATTTTAATTGTACTGCTATGAATATCAATTTCAGTAGTTTTTTAGAATCTCCTGTATAATTCAAGTTAAATTCTTGTGTAATTCTCAATTAAATTCTTGTAACTATTTTAATGCATGATTAATAATTAGTTATCAGAACTTTTATGTGGTCTGCTTTTAGATATTACATCAGTTTTGTGTCTATTTTATTCAGATTTAAAAGTGGTTGGTTTTGGATTGATGTGATTAAGGCAAAGCCTCAAGGGCTGTCTGCCTAAGGTGAGGGTTGCCTTCATGGAGGACCTTTATAAGGGAAACTAACTTGCATACACACACTACAAATGGAGAAAACCATGAAAACGCCCATGCAGCCAGCCTGTTCACGTGATTTGAACTTCAGACAGAACTAGCAGTGTTCAGCGATTTCATCACTTGGCCGCTGGTGGGATTGATTTAAAAAGGGTATAAATAGGAATATGTACTGCAATTTCTTTCAATGTATAGTTAATATATTTATAATACAGTTTTATTTATTTAAACGGGTTTTGTGTGCCTTAAACTTTTATGATTTTGTAAGTTACCAGACATATGTTGGGAATGACTGATGTAAAGGGCTGAGCCAGAAATATGTCAGTTTGGTGTATTTGAGAAGTTACAGATGATATTTTTTCTGGTATTTTCACCAAATGGATAAAATTTACAGTAAATAGTTTTCAACAAAACAAAATAAAATAATTGCACCAAATGACATAAAAGAATGCCAAGATTCATTTATATAAACAAAATCCTTCCATTTGCTTAATGTGCAGTTGTTATGCGATTTTTCCTTCCATTTTATGTAATTTATATATACACTCTTTTGCAAAAAAAATGAAAGCACCATGAAGGAAATGGTTGTTTTTAATGAAATTGAATGTGTGTATAGCTCATACACAGATAATAAAATGATTAAAAAAATCAAGGTCATAGTACCTATTCACAGCTCACAATCACCCATTGAGTATTCAAATTAGTAGTTGGTCGAACCGGCTTGAATTCGTCGATGCAAGGAGTAGTAGAGGTTCCTCATGTCATCCTGCAACACATTCTGCCAGGCATTCATCAGTTATTGCTCTAGATGTGCGATATTTTGTGGTGCCCGAATCTGGTGCCTACCATGTCTCAAACATGCTCAACTGGTGAAAAGTCTGGTGACCTTGCTGGCCAAGGAAGAGTATCAACTGCATTGAGACAATCCAGATATATGTGAGCAGTATGTGGCCAGGCATCATCTTGTTGGAAAATGGCCCCACAATGATGTGCTCAATTGGTGAAAGGTCTGGTGACATTGCTGGCAAAGGAAGAGTATCAAATGCATGGAGACAGTCCAGATATATGCGAGCAGTTTGTGGCCAGGCATCATCTCGTTGAAAAATGGCCCCAGGATGATGAGCCATGAAGGGTAATGCAACCGGCCGCAGCATATGGTATCAACATATCGTTGAGCTGTTAAAGATGTACAGAGGATGACTAAAATGACCTGCTGTCATAGCACCCCACACCATAACAGCAGAGGTTATGGCTGTATGCCTTTGTAAATAAGAGGCTGATTAGACAACTCCGCCAATGTTGTTGGGTCAAAGGCAAACGTCTTAAAGGCCTCCTTGAGTGTAACCCCGACTCAGACAAGCGCTGTGAGATGGCGGATGGTACCATGTGAGGTATAGATGTGGCTGTAGTGCATTGAATAGTCGACAATGATACTATCGGAGCGGTTCGTGCCTGGCGAACAATCATACTATCTTGCCTCGCATTTGTTCTCCTTGGCCTTCCAGAGCCTTCATTTCGTCAGCAATTTTCTTGTAGCAACCATTGCTGCCAGCATCTTTGTACTGCAATGCCTGTATGCTGCAGGTGGTGGCTTATTGCTCAGTATGACCACCCAGCTTCATGCAACCCTACAATGTGACCACGTTTGAAGTCGTTTAGCTGTTTGTAAGGTCTTCAATATGGTCATAATGGCATCTTTAGTTGCTTCTTTACGGAATTACAATGACAGGAACAAAAAAAAAAAAAAGAGAGAATTTTCCACCTCTGTTATTGGTTTTATACTCTGCGAATTGCGCATTAGAAATGTGCACTATGATTGCAATTCCTGTTCATTTTCCTTGAAACTTTGATCAGATGTTTTTGCATACCAAATTCATCATCATAATCTCTAAAGTCCTTCTTGAGCTTTGGTTTTTTTTTTTTTTTTTTTTGCAAAACAGTGTATATATGCATGTGCGTGCGCATTTATATGATAGAGTGTTTTGTGATTTAACTATGGTTATGAATATATTTTTTATTTTTCTTTCTATTACTTTTGTTAAAAATTTGTTATATTTTTACTCACTAGTAAATAGTTTTTTAATGCATCATTCCAAAGTTTTCTGCTTATTGATATCTACGATACATAGTATATCTATAGTTGGTGATAGGTATAATTCATGAATAAATAAAATTATTGATACAATCATCAGCTGCTAAAAAATTTTTTTTTTTTTATTCCAATCCAGTAGGAATATTAAACATGCACATGCGATGCTATATTTTAATTATTTGATCTATGACATTGTTGTATAACCTTTTAAGACAAAAAAATTTAATCATAAAATTCCTGTTAACAAATAGTTTACAAACATGTAACCTTTCAGAAACTGTACATTTTGCAAAAGATCATATGTAAAATTATGCATACGTTTCTTTGCATATCAAAAAGCAACTGAGTGGTCATTTGTGGGGGAACAGCCCCAGTCTATGCACAATGACAAGGCCATCCAAACTATGTACAATGACCATCATAGGAAATATTTTATTTTTAGCGTACCTAAACACCGCATGGGTTAAAACGCTGTGGCGTTTCTTCCGGAAATTACCGTCATTATTTGTTTACTTTATTAAACATTTCTTTCAATGTAAGTTTTTTAAGTTGCTTCATTTTTTGTGCTAATACTTTCTCTTTAATTCTGTAGACAGACATAATCTCTTGTTCAGTTGTATTGTTCAAGTCCTGTAACTGCTGTTTTGAGAATTCCGACTACCTTTGTCAACCAAAATTTTCTTGTTTTCAGTAACTTCTCTGTCACTTTCTTCGTTATCGGTAGCAGTATTTTCTGGATCTAGAACCATACTACAGATTTTCGCCATTCATTAATTGACTGATGGTTGAGAAGCATTGTCATCACAATGAAAAACTTATATCATCTTCTTATTCTTCACATTTCTTTACAAAAACCGTTAAATGGAAAATTTCCCCCCCCCTTTTTTTTTTTTTTTTGCAATATCTGAAAAAAAAAACTTTAAAATTAGCAGCTATCATAATCAAATTTAGCTATCCTTCACTATGCATCATGAGCCTGACAACTAACAACAAGTTGTTCTGTTAAATTTTATCTTACTTCTATCGCATACTGAAAAATTAAGCCTGAATTGTATTAGTTTAGTTATTTATTTTACTTACATCTATTTCTTACACATGCTTAAGGCTTATCAGAGTTCTGAATAAATAAATTCAAACATATACTTAAGCCTTATTGAGAGCTGGCACCAGATATCTTACCGCCTGATGCAGTTTCTGCGGGTCCTAAATTCTGCGGCCATACGAGACCTAGCAATGGTCATGGATTTTATGTAAATAACAGATCAGTTATTCTAAATGCAAATAGCCCTAAATTTAATCTTTGGGTCTATGAGTATCAACAAAATCTATTTTTAGCATACAGAAAGAAATTTTTGGTAAATTTTTCCTTGTGATCACTTTTTAGTGCATTTAAATCTTTGATCATCGCCAAGCGTAAAGTCAACATAAAAGGTTACCATACTCCTTTAATTTTCAATTACCAACATAAAAAAATTGTTTAGACATTGCTACATGAGTCATTATTCAAGTTGTCATGTTTTGATAAGCATGCGGTTGTTAAAGGGAAGTATAATAAATAATGATTTGCCAGGTTGGCATCAATTTAACAATGTATCTACATGGAATGTTTTGGTTTGAGATGTGTGCCAAAGCACATACGCAGCAACAGAATCAAATTACTGATGGTACAAATTTTATGCTAAAATGATCATTTCTTCAATAACAAGGTATTTTATTTAGTGTCGAAGTGAAATTAAGAATCGGGACTCTGCAGATGTTTTATTATGTGCAGAGGGGGGGGAACGAAATGTGTATGCGTAAAGCCTATGAAAAAAAACGTTGTTGGTGGTTTTGAGGTCCAGATTTTAGATAATTTCGGATAATGGACGTCCGGATTTCGGACACTGTACTGTAGTAAAATACTTTCTCATCTTCTTTTCCATAGCAAGTCAAAGTGAAGAAACACTTGCTGCCACTGTTTTGACATTCTTAGACAAATGTGGATTTGACATAAAAAATTTTAAAATGCCTTAGGAGGGAAGGCTAGATAAAAACTATTGCTTGTTTCCAAGTGTCACTTTCCAGACTGCAAAAGCAGGATCACTCAAAGTTCGGTAGTAGAATGTGCCTCAGAAAGCTGTACTGTTGCAGTCTCATTCTACAGGTTTCTGCAAGGCCATGCACAGCTTTTCCTTGCCAAGTAATCTATGGAGTATTATTCATGAATATTCTGAAGCCGAAAACAGCAAATGTCAGCAAAGCTCTGCAATAGTTTAAAAATAAGTGAAAACTGGTGGACAATACTACCAAGTTCCAGAGTTCTAGCAGCTTCCAGGTCATGGCTGAAGATGTGAAGCAGCAGCCAAACACACTTCATAAGGTCAAATGTATGTTAAACGATCCATCAAAGAGAAATGTCATCACTACGATAAGCAAAATTTTCATTCAAATATTTCACATTAGGGAAGATATCAAAGTTAATGAAAGTATGCCAGCATCACAGTTATAAAGCATGTTTTAAATGAGCATTTCCAAATGATATGAAACATCAAAAATCCATGGGTACTTTCAACCATGAATGCTACTAATGAGGAACCCTTTTCGAAGTTAAAATTGCTGAAACACTATCATCGATCTTCACTGACACAAAATTGATTGAGCTCACTAGTAGCAAGTAACTGTTTATCTTGTAATGTATCCTGACAGATTTCACCTTTAACATGTACAGAAAATAAATATTTGAAATTTACTGCTTACATGAATACTAACTTTTATTAAAAAATTTTGGCAACATTCTTCAGTATTTCATTTTTTGCATTACAATTTGCTTTAAAATAATTGCTAATATTTGTTTAGAATAACAAAATTAAAAATTATGCAACATTTTGTAAACAAAACTTTGCAACATTTTGACTTAACTACTTCCCACTGGATTTAAATCAGCACTGAATGTAATCAAACTGGGGGGGGGGACTTTACATGCAAGGGACGATGAATATGTAATGAAAGTCTTTTGTAGTCATCAGCCAAAAACATTGTTAAACATCAGCCAAAAACATTGTAGTTAAACATTGGGGGGCAGGTATTATCCGCCTTCCGTTATAAATACTTAGCAAACGTTTTTTAATAATACTGGAGGAAAAAAATTCTTTCTTTATTTGTGCTACTGCAATAAACTCTGTTTATAAACAAAAACATTATGTAAAGTAACTGAAAACTATGAATAAGTACTTACAATCAGAGGTAATGCAAAGTATGTGTCAACACAAGCTAATAAAACAAATAGGGCAGTTATGAAATAATAGATTGCTGCTGTTCGCTGGTTAGGAGAAGCTGTAAACAAAAGAATTGCACACATGTATGTATATAGCTGTAAATAAAAGAATTGCACACATGTACGTATATATAGCTGTAAATAAAAGAATTGCACACATGTATCATGTACATATATATATATATACGTATATATACATGCAATATCTTAAAACCAATTGCAAGTGTTAACCTCTGTTATTACAGCCATAGCCCATAATCCATGGATCCAGTAACCGTGGTTTCACTTATCTGTAGTTCCACAGAGAGGAAAGAATCTGCAACTTCCAATTCTGCATCCCTTCTTTTTAAAATTTCTGCCTCTGTTGCTTCTAGTATTCATGCTATTCTGATCAGTAATATGTTATCCCAGCTATCCCCAAAACATATGCTACAAGAGTTTGGAAACTACGAATTTGATATTAGAAGATTGGAAAATAAGTTACTCTTAATTTCTACCACCATCATGCAATACAGAAAAATAAGGAAAAGCATTTCTATACTTCTTTTTTGCCTCTTTTGCAAACTGAGCTAAAGTATCAGAATCACATGTCTTGTAGTTAAGACCCAGATACATAGTGTACAACAGAATGGAGCAAAAAAAAAAGTTGTATAACTGAAATGCATTGCTGCTCAAAAGTTGTGTATTGACATATATTACTTCATACTTGCCAACCTATGACACTCAAAAATCAGGAGATTCTTTTTAAGAAATCAGGAGATTTTTCACAATGTTAAAAAAACTTTTTAAATGATAAAAATGTAGTTTTTAATAATGAATTAACTTTAAATAGTTACTAATTCTTAAATGCAAGCAACACAAAAATACCTTACACATAAAAAAAAAATTTTTAGTACTTGCATCGTTTAAGGGGGGGGGAACCATACTTTAATCAGTTTTCGTACAAATGTTATGAACAGTGGCAGATTTTGCTTTCATTTAAAAAGAAATTTCATAATTTTGTTCATAGCAATTGCTATGTAGGCCTGCTTTAGCTAATAAAAGTTTTATTGATGTGTGATCACTAATATTAGATCTAAATTTAGTCTTCATTTTCACAACAGCACTGAAAATCCTCTCACATTCTGCATTACTATGAAGAACTGTCAAGATGGCCAACATAATTCTAGACAGTTCAATATATTTTAAAATTCCATCAGAACCTTTCAGTTTTCCAATTGAAACTCCACTGGATGGTGACCTGCACCTCAACCACCTAGCTGATTTTATAACTTCATCCAAGTTTTCTAATCGTAAACTACAAACTTGCGAATGCAATATTTATCAGTGGCGACATCAATATCATCATCTTTCATGACTAAATGAACTAACACAGGAAATCTGTTCAAAAAGTACCTTATAGGAGAAAAAGATGCATTTCATAGAGCAGAAACATCAGCAACTTTAGCATGCAAAATCACTTCATCGTTGACTGGAAATGTTATGTAATATGTAATCACATACTTGAAAGAAGTAACTTCTAACATGAAGATAAAACTTATTTTTGTCTTCTCCTGAAAGTTCTTCCACTACTTTTGTAGTTGCAGCTCCTATTACCAAATCTTCATCTTTCTTCTGATTTTCTATTTCACCATAAATCACATCATATATAAAATTACAAGACAAAACACAGACTGGTTTTACAAACTTTGATAAAATGTCTTTAAACAGATCATAAATCATTGATTGCAAAACATGAATTAATGGAATTCTGCTTTGTAGAACTGTGTTAAGAACATCGAATGATGGCAAAATGAATTGTAAAAAAAAAAAGCAAAAATTCTTTTGTTAAGGTCCGAAGAAAAAAACATAAATATTCGTTCTTCACAAGATAAACATTACAGTAATCGGAAAAATGTTTTCCGTGTGTTGAGCAATTTTTTTTATTTTGAGAGAAATTTGTATCAGCTTTACGCTTATATTTGCGGTATTATTTTTGAGAACAGCCAGCAGTTGAATTGGTGAATGGTGGAGAAATTACTTTATTTTTCTCAAACCTATTTTTAACAATCGAAGCAGTAACTACATCTCCATTTACTTTAGGTATTTTATAACTTTAAATAGAGCGTTTTATTTTAAATCTCGAAGCATTTACTTCTTCTTTAAAAAATGCAAGAAGTGGGTTCCATTGATCGAGGATTCTAGATAAGCATTTCTTTAAAGACAGCCAGCCTGTACACACGTTTCAAAATTTTTCTCATTTCAGTATTATGCAGCTGTTGGAACTGTTTCAATTTTTCCTTCCTTTTAGAAATCCTTTCAAGATAATAATAAATATCAACAATCTGTTTATCCACATTTATTGGTAAAGAAGCTACTCCTTTTTCAGCGGCTAAATTTAAGAGGTGACAGGTGCACCTTTTAAAAAACAAAAAAAAAAAAAAAAAAAAAAAAAAAAAAAAAAAAAAAAAAAAAAAAAAAAAAAAAAAAAAAAAATCTGCAAATCTGAATTTTCCTTTCTTTTAGATGCCTGCAACACCAATCTTCAAGCCTACCATTACTTGGTGCATTATCGGCATCAAGTGCTAAGGGAGACAATTAAGTCCAGAGGGACTGCATTTTCCTTTAAAGTTTTCATACTTATAGCTGTGCTATATTAAAGCCTGACGAATGTCCTTCTAAAGTGAGGGACAGAAAAGTAAACTGTACTTCAATTTCTGAAGACTCTGGATTAAAAAAAGAAACAACAAATTGGATACAGTTTTGAATCGGTATTATTTGACTTCCATTCGTAGAGAGGCAGAACGAGAGCTGTTTTAATGCAATCAAATAACTGAAGATTTATTTTTTCAAACCCATTTCTTTAACAATTGCACCTGTTTTGGTTCCTTGCACTTGAGTATTTCTTAGCGATTTCACTACATCGGGAAACAATTTTTCTAAATAAAGCTGCAGCATGTTATTCCAATGCATTCAGTGGCAAGGTTGTGCTCCAGTAAAAAGGTAGAGAACAGACATTCCGTACATTAATCAACTTTTTAGGTCCTTTGTTTCCGAAGAAAAATTTAATTTTTCGTTTTTTTCAAAACTATTTATGTTGTCCTTGTGTACGCACATGTTTGAGAACATCCGCCCTTCCCCCATACATACGAAATCGAAAAATCGCAATGACAGACGAACGGTACACACCGCAAATTTATTACATTTCCTTGAGGAAGTAATGGAAGGAAAGTCAAATGTGTACGATTTTTGAAACGTACATGAGTATTTCACCTTTCTCGCAAACATAACAAAAGATGATAATTTCTAAAACTATTTCCCGAAGGCACGTGTACTCACACAACTCAGGACAAGATGAATGAAATAACTAAAGAACATCCAAATAAAGCTTGCTTTGTGCTCATTGGCTAATATATACCAGATGACACGCAGTGGAGCTCGATGCCCATTGGAGAACGACGTTTCTTGATACGTATATGCTTTCACTCACAAAGCAGTTCTCATCTTATTCACAAGTTTTGTTTTAGATATAATCTAGAGAAAATTCAATTGCTTTCAGACGTCCAAAATCACTTTATTTATTTATTTTTTTTTTATAACGAAGTATTAAGCCAAGTTCCATAAAAATCGTAAGAAATTTTAAGAATAAGAAAAAGTCGGGAGAAATATATTGTAAATCGGGTTGGCGGGAGAGCTGTCGAAAATCGGGAGTCTCCCGCCTAAATCGGGAGAGTTGGCAACTCTGTTACTTGTATATATTAAAATATGAACATACGTATATACTTTTATATGTATATATTACTTGTGAACTTTCTTAAAATTTTCTACTCCATTTTGCCCCCAAGAGCCTAGAAATTGAACAATTTTGTTAATTGTATGATAAAACTACAAAATTTTCGAAAAGTGATGGATGAAAATGAACTACTCCTCAAAAGTTACATATTAACATATTGCATACTAATCTAATAGAAATCTCTTAAGACACACGCCACAGACTGCATGTTTTTTGGCAAACTGCATCTTATTTAAATCATCATAATGCACTTTAGGTCCTGTTTTTTATAACATTTTTATTTACAAAAACATTTAAACAACTAAAGTTCCTAATTCAGAAGTCAAACAACAAAAATCAGCATTAATTTTCAAAATTTTCACAGAACTAGTTTCGATGGTTTTACCGAACCACCATCCTCAGCTGCAAAACTGCAAATGAACAAGATAGGAAATAATGATTAGATAAGAAAGCCAGTGGACAAGAATAAGCAAGTGGCGCCATCTATTGGTGAAACCAGAACTAAAACACAATTTCTTTAAAGGCCAAAGGCAAAGATGGATTGGAATTAGGATTGTTAACAAGAACAGAAAGATTTTTTTGAATGTGAAATGCCTTTAGAAAATCCAGTTCTCCAATGGAAGATGTTTATTGAATAATTTTGGCAGCAGAAAAATTGAAAGTGTGATTTTCGGACCAACATGTTGAGCAACAGAAGACTTCTGTGTTTCCTTTTTTCTAACATATGCCTCATGTTCCTTGGCACGGAATTTTAAGGCTCTCTTAGTTTGGCCAATGTAAATTAAACCACACTGGCAAGGAATCCTATAAATACCCCCAAGAATTCATATCCGGAATGGGGTCCTTGAGTATGGAACTTGGAATTTTATTGATGGGAGAATAAACGACCCAAAAGTTAAATTTCTCTGCAAAATATCTGCAACTTTATAGCTAATTGATGGAGAGAAAGGAATGACAACAGAATTTTTATAATATCCTAAAACAAGAGTGCTTTTTATAAACACCCTGTATAAAGCTCTAAAAAGCACACTCTAGTTTTAGTAGATTTTAAAAATTCCGTTCTCATTCCCTTCTCTCCATCAATGGAACATGGATCAAAGAACATGAGGCATATGTTAGAAAAAAAGGAAACACAGAAGTTTTCTGTTGCCCAACATTGTTGGTTCGAAAATCACACTTTCAATTTTTCTGCTGCCAAAATTATTCAAAAAATATCTTGCATTGGAGAACTGGATTTTCTAGAGGCATTTCACATTCAAAAAAAAAAAAAAAAAATCTTCTAGTTAA